TTTTTAATTTCTAATACAAATTTTTAATTAAAAATAATAATTTTATTATTATTTTCTAATTATAATTACGAATTATTAAACTATTCTAAGGGTATTATTGCCATTTAGGAAAAAAATAACTTAATGGGACAATAACTAAATGGGATTAGACTAAAGGGACAATTTCCTAATGGTTTTGGTCTAAAAAAACTATTTTCTCTATTTTCTTTCCATATTGTCTGTTATTTTTTTCCATTTTCACGCTCATTTACAGTTGTATTTGTTTGATTTCGGTTGTCAAGAAAAGAAACTGAATAATAAAAGAAATAGATTTACTTGGGCAGGACTCGGACAGATGTATCCTAGTTTAGGTTTCCGAGCAAACCAATTAATATAAAACTAGATCTTGACCCGCGCACCGGCGCGGATTTAACTTAATTTGGAAAAGCATAATATATTCATAAGTCATCAGTTATTACCATATTTCAAAAACTATGATCGTATTGAATGTAATAGGACTGGGGTTTGATTTTGGGTTCAACTTTTGTTGGATTCTTTATGTTCGTAGTTTTTTTAATTCTACAGATATAAGATCTGTTCTGTTATCTATATAAATTGATTTGCGTCCGGTTCGATTCTTTTGGTTTGAGCTGAGTTTGGTAATAATTATAATAACCAACTAATATCAGATAAATTTTTGGTTCTAATATGATAACGGTTTGGTTACGATTTCTAGGATTAATTTTAGATTAATCGGGGTAAAACTGATTTTGGGGGGGGGTAGGTGTTTCGGATAAATATTCAGTTACGAAACAAAATTTTAATATTTTAGTTAAAACTATTCAAATATTTTGTGTCTTTATGATAATTTGAATAATGTAAAATACTTTAGATAAAATATATTTGAGTATTAAATTATTTGAAATGTAAATTGTTATTATCTTAAAAACTGATATTATTTTTAATTTAGTCAACAATAAATAAAATTGAATATGGTCTTTATATAAAATATAAACTAAAACACAAATTACTACAATGGGCCAAATGATTAAAGCCAACCATAACATAAAATAAATTAAACAAAAGCCCAATTCTATTATAACAATGTTTAAAAGCCCAACTCCTTTAAACTTATAGCCAAACAACATTAAACTCTTTATTACTACTATTTAAGTTTCCAAACAAACCTAAAGAGTACTACAACTTTAATAAGATAGATGCACTTTACTGGAAAATAACGCTAGGGAACATCATAGTTTATTTTTATAATTTGTTGAGCTAGGGAACATCATAGTTGTATAACTTATTCAAACTACTGTACATGATAAAAAATAATGTGTTTTTATTAGCCTTGCGAATTCGGTTTTTCAAAACCGAACGGAATCGAACCATCGATTTCCGGTTAACCGAAATGTTTAAAATATACTCTGCAATTAATCGAATTGAATTTTAGTTAATTTCAATTTTAAAAATTATTTCTGAAAATAACCGACTTTTTTTTTGTTTTCGGTTAATCTCGGTTTAGTTTTTCAGAAAAAAATCGGATATTTTCGATTAGATTCGATTATTTCGGTTTAGTTTAGATTTTTCAATTTTTTTTGTTAAAATTGGTTCAGTTATTCGATTATTTTCGGTTTTACTTTTTATTTAAAAACAAAAAACTAAAAAACTGAACCGAATAATAAAAACCGAATTACTTTTCAAAATTCTATTGAACTAAACCAAATTTAAAACGGAAACCGAACCAAAAATAAAAAAATTTGATTCCGCTCGGTCAGCCCGTTCGGTTCGGACAAAAATCGCAGGGTTAGTTTTTATGATTAGAACGAAATTAAAGTTACTAAAAGAATCATTTAGTCAAAACCAAAACCGGACCGAAGCGGTGGAAACCAATCACTCAACCCAAGGGTAATATCGTCTACTTACTCTTATCTTCTGACCGTGTCGGATCGGGTCAAAAGGATACGACAACAGAATCTTCAAAACGGCATCGTCTAAACCGATTAAATAATAATCACACACGCACGCACGCATAGTTTCGTTTGGAATTTAACGCAAACGCGCTAAAATGAGCTTAGCTTCAGTCATCCTCCACCACGGAGTTCTCTCTCCGGCGAAATCGGATCGAATCTTTCCGGTGATTCCGCCGCATCTCCGAGCTCGTGGATGGACTAAGTCTCGTTTCTCTCTCCTCCCAAATCCTTCTCCCGTTTCAGGTCTCCTTCTCTCTTTAGTCGCATTTCATGTATTTTGGATTCATCTAATGTGAATTTTGGGTTTACGATCTTTTCAGCTGCGAAGCGTCGTCTTCCTCATATTAGCTGCTCCCTAGGAACTGATCAGGAAGATACTTCTTTAGGTGAATGCTTCTTTAGGAGCTGAGACTCTTTACATCATAGTATGAAGTATGAACTATGATTTTACTCTTGTTAGCAAGACACACGTGAAAAAAAACACTTTACCCCTAAAGAAAAATAAAAGAGAGACTTTGTCTTGTGAGTTGTGAGTTGTGAGTTGTGAGTTGTGACAATAACTTTTATGTGTGGCATGTTTGTTAGTACAGAGAAGGAGAAGAGAGATCTTTTACCACACAAAGATGAAGGCCTGAGAGATACTCCCCAAGAAGAGACAAACAAAACTTCCTTCAACACTGTTGCCTTGTGTGTTAGTGTCTTCTTCTCATCTGCTTTTTGTTCTCTATAAACAAAAACATAAAGTCGTTGTTTTATTTCTCAATAGGTAAGCGCTGCTGTGGCATTTGGAATCGGGATAGGTTTGAAGGATGGTGTTGGCAAGGCATCAGAGTTTTTTGCAGGGTGCGTAGTGCTTTGAATATGATATATACAAGTTCACTTAATTAGCTCTAACTGTTTTTTCAAAACTCTTGCAGCTATTTATTGGAGCAAAGTTTGTCAGTGGACAACTTGTTTGTTTTTGTTCTCGTCTTCAAGTACTTCAAAACACCACTTATGTATCAGGTAACAAAATTTTACACACAAGAGAACTAGTCTTGACTATAATATCACTCTGATTCCTAATATATGATTTTACTGTATAGAATCGGGTACTTACATATGGTGTAGTTGGTGCAATTCTCTTTCGCTTCTCCCTCATATTACTAGGAACAGCCACTCTTCAGGTAAATTCTATTAGTTTTTCCGTCTCATTTGAGATCAGTTTCTAAATTCTCCCTCCATCTTTCAGAGGTTTGAAGCAGTGAATCTACTGCTTGCTGCAGTACTCTTATATTCGTCTTTCAAGGTGTGCATATTTCCTCATCTTAGCATTTATACCTATAATACACACATGACACAACTTTGAGTATGGAACATAAAGGGTGGTCTGTTGCTTAGTTTCTTCTGTGCTCAATGTATTGCTACAGTTATTTTCAAGTGAAGAAGATGATACAGATCTATCTGACAACTTCATTGTAAAGACATGCCAGAGATTTATACCTGTCACATGTAACGTATCCAGTCTTTTTCTTCCTGTTCCTGCGAGCTGCTTGGATTATATGCAGTTTTGTTTCCACTATCTGGCTGATATGCTTACATAGCTGATTTTTTTTCCTTCCTTTTTATGTTTTTATCTGAGGGCAGCAAGTTACGATGGAAATAGGTTTTTCACAAAGCATGATGGCATTTTAAAAGTAAGTATATGACTAAATTTTCACTGATTTGTAGATTTATGTATTCTTATATGAGAGGATTCCATGGTCAAAATATCTTTCGACTGTTTCTAATCTATCTCAAAACAATTTGGGCAGGCCACACCGTTGCTACTCACAGTAGCAGTGATCGAGCTCAGTGACATAGCCTTTGCTGTATACTCCTCCATCACCACTTTGTGAATCTTTTTTGGCTAGAAAAAAGTGAAGTGACGCACTGATACTGCTTGCTCATTCTCTTAGGTTGACTCAATACCAGCTGTTTTTGGGGTCACAAGGGATCCTTTTATAGTCTTGACCTCTAATCTGTTTGCAATCATAGGTACTAACTTTTTAGTCTATACTTAATCTTGTTGATGCTACCAATATTATTAGAAATTTGAATTGAATTATTAGTGGGAGATTTCACAGAAGAGTTTAAATTTTTTTTGGGTGCAGGACTGAGGTCTCTCTATACCCTGATTTCTGAAGGAATGGGCGAGCTGGAATACTTGCAGGTATCACTTTATTTTTCATTCAGCTTATCTCTGTTTCATGGTGGAACAAAACTGAATAGTCAAAAACATAAAGACAGTTCCTTAACTATGGTTATCAGCAGTAATGCTCATTATCTGTCCATGGGACTCGACAAGTATGATTTGTATCTAAATCTTGTCTTTGCCTTAACCAGCCTTCAATAGCAGTTGTTCTTGGCTTCATCGGATTCAAGATGATCCTCGAGTTCTTTGGTATTATACAATTTTTACTCATCCGCAATTTCTGCTGAACAAAAAAACAAAGCTCTGTTAACATTTCTTCATCCTTGCAGGCTTTCATGTATCAACCGAGGCATCACTTGGTATTGTGGCACTTTCTCTCAGCACCGGAGTTTTGTTGAGCCTAACAAACAAATCCGACGACAACTAACTAAGAACGACGATGTAATCAATCAAAAAGTTCATAAGAACAAAAATCGTATTGTTCACTAAATCATTTCAAGATGTGTTACTACTGTAGATACAACACAGCTGCAGAGAACAAGATCATTAGACCCAAACTTATTATATTTGTCTGTAAGAACGTTGGATTTACTAGGTCGTCTATGAAACGAGAATGATAAAATAGAGCTCTTATTTATGCATCAAACAAAAACAAAACTCTTCTAATTATCAAATAATCTTTTACAAAATGTTTCCAACTCGATAGTTATGATCATAATGAATAAAACTATAGGCGAGTGCTGAACATAAATGTCTGCTTCTGGTATTGTGACACAAAGTTATATCTTGTTTAGACTTAAGATGTTGTTTTCATTCAGCTTAAAAATAGAGGAAGCAGAATCAGTGAAGAAGATGGATCACAGTTCTTTGTATGTATCATATTTTAGATAACCAATAATCTCATTTGGCCCTCGATCATGTTTAAGGTCATGGAGATGCTTACCAACTCTAGCTTTAATCATGAGCTTACATCCTACTTCTAATTTCATCATAATGTCTAGTAAAATCATGGTAGATAGATATAAAATGACAACTTGCAATAATACACAAACGAAAGTCAGAGATACACCAAATCATCAGTTCCGTACACACATCCATCAAATAGAAACACATGGACAGGATTCACATTTCACTTATTTAAATAGAGTTACTTTGGTTAATCACATAGTCTTAGAGGCAAAGGGAACTCACTCAAGCCTGAAAAAGAAAAGCAGAAAAATATAAGACATTTTTCAAAGTAAAAACAATAAACAACAATGAAGAAGAATGTGATGTGTTTATTACCAGAGCATAGACTAAACATCACGAACGTGGTTGAAATCCTCCAAATGCTTGAGATTCTCCCAAGCCTTCTCCAAAACCTTGGCCTCGTAGACCTTCTTGGTCTCACCATCAGCCACCTCCACAGTGAGATGGTGCATGGTTCCCGCCACAACTTGTGTTTTCGCACCAAGGAGCCTCCTGTATTCTAGTGTCACGTTCTGCATACACAAACATAATCATTTTTGGAGATTGATTTCTTCAAATGAAAAATTGCACCCTATTTAATCAATACATAATCTGATCGATCTGCTACAAAAAAAACAAACAAACATAAGATTCAAAGTAATAGAAACGAACCTCCTTCTTGTTATGTTCATCGACAGCGAAACGAGCGAGACTCTCGACTTGAAGATCATTTGCATTTGCATCAATATCGCGAACTCCTCCGACGACTGTTCCTCCTTCTTGATCCGCCATTATCGCTTTTTTTTTTTATCTCTCTCTCTAAATTTGATTCGTAGCTAAGTCTTCTAATTGCTGTATGATTTATATTTATAGATGGATGATTCGTAAAGCGCGTTTTCTTATTCTCCAAGAATAATTCTTTTTGCAATATTGTGACTCATTGTAGCACTAACCAAGAGAATCTTTTATAGTTAATCGGAACTTTATATTATATATAAATCGAATTATACAGAGAGGTTAACTAAAAGAAGAAACTATTGGTTAGGCCTACCAGAAGATGGTCCATAATTAGAAATGGGTAAGGTCAGGCCCAATACGGTAATTCTATGTATCGGGCCAATGTCACGACGAAGAAGACTTTTCTTACCCTTTTCTGTGTTTATATTTGTCAAGCATTGGTTGTTCAAAAAAAATAAAAAATTGTCGAGCATTGATAAATTCCTAATAAACAAAAAAACTCTCAAGTTTGCTTACAATCTCTCAAGCAAAACATCTAATATGTTTGATTTTCAGTACAGATATCTATATAAGAAATAGCTAGGATAATAATATTCTTCTCATCATAGAAAATTATATATGGAGGACCTTTTCTAGCTAAAACATGTGTGGCATCACTGGATTGTCTTTTGACAAAGTAAAAAAAAAAAGAATTATTTAGTTAACAGCTACAAGTTTAATGTTTTTTTTTTGGGAAACTAGATTGGTGATTGACATGTCTTTGAAATACATCTACCAACATTTGCGAATCACCTTCGAACAAATGCTAGAAGGAGTAACTACACCATTTTGAAAGTAGATATGAAGTGTGACTATTTGGAAAAAATCTAAAATGGAACACTTGAAAGAAGGGGTAGGTCAAATCGTCTCGTCCTTACTATAAGTGTGCGCAAAATAAACACTGAGCAAACAAAAACTTGTCTACTCTTTTGTCTTTTATTATTTTTTTATAACTGCAAGTTGGTCGAGCGTGTGTTAATTCATAATAATTTGTTTCAGAAAAGATAAAAAAGACACCAAGTCTCAAAACTCACTTCCGTCTCCCTCCCACACACATACTTTCTCTCTCCCCTTAAAAAAAATTTTAGCAGCAAGAATCGGTTTAAGCCACTAATCTAAACCGCCACCATGTCAACAACGACTCCCCGCCGCATAACCACCGGTTTAATCGCCTCGGTCCAATCGCATTCCTCGGTTCGACCTCAATCCATGATCTCCCTAATCCGTCGAAATCACCACATCAATCTTCGTCTACACTCCCCAATTGCTACCGCCTCCAGGCGGTGGTTAATCGAAGCGGTTTCACCGCCGGCGATATCATCATCCTCCGATGACGGAGGAGTTCATGATGATACTAAAAAGCCAGGGGTGTGCGGTTACGCGATCACAGGTAACGAGATCGGAGGGAGCAGCGACCACGTGGTTGACGAAGGAGATGAGCAACATGTTGTCAATACGATGGAGATGGTGGTGTGGGCGGCGGCTACGGCGGCGTTGGGAGTTGGGAACCGTGTGATGTACAAACTTGCGTTGGTTCCGCTCAAACACTATCCTTTTTTCCTCGCGCAACTCTCCACCTTCGGGTAAAATCATCTAAGCTAATTAATTTTATTAGAGGTCGTAACACGTTCTTAATCTTACAAAATTGAGAACTAATTAAAAAAATTCACAAACACGTTCTATAGTTTTAATTTTTTTAGGCATCTCTCTGGTTTGCATATTTTTAGAGTTAGTCCTATGCAACTCCTAACGATTTAGTTGAGGTAAGCAACTATTAATCTGTACACAATTTTTATATTGTGAATGGAAACTTAAAAACTGTGCTTGACTGGAATTTAAAATTTGGTTGTAAATTCATTTCCTTCACAGTTATTTTGTTTTGTGTTTTTTTCCTTCTCAAAAAAGATCTCTAAAACTATTTGGTTTGATGTTGTACATTTTAAAAATCCAAGGAGGAGGTACGAATATATTATAAATATTTTGGGTCAGATTTGGCTTGCAGTCTATTTCGTATTGGATACTTCTACTTGGGACATTATTGGAGGAGCGTATCATCTCTCCACATGCTAATATATACACATATTTATTATTTAATAATTGAAGACTGGTCCAAATTAATATTTACTAGGTGGACGGTGCACATGCATGTGCGGACATTAATACATTAATATAACTATTAATATAACTGTACATTGCATAAAATTGATATGAGTGTATATATGTATTGTAACTCTGTTTTCTTCTACGTAGGTATTCCGTTTTTTCCTTGTATATCGTTCTATCTTATTCATTTCATTTTTTCTTGTTTTTTTCACACACATTCATTATGTCTCTTTTGTATCTCTCTCCCGGTTCTTTTGGTATGTCATTGTAACTCTTTCGCTTGCTTTCCCTTTTTCTTTTTCTCTCTTGATCAAATAATCTCAAAATCTTTCAAACTTACATTCACTCTCACACAATCATTTATATTCGCTCTTTTACCCCCATCTTTATTATAACTTTCAATATTTTACTTTCAAACTTTTTCTAATTCTTTTTTTTGTTACAAATTTTTTATCAGATTTTGTTAAATCTTCAAAACACTCTTACTTAATATTAATAAATGATTTCATGATCTATCTCACTTACATTCAGTCAGTCACTTATTTCACTCTCATATTTTCCATGATCATAACCCTCACTCCTCATCATCAACATCTCTCCCTCTCTCATATATTTTTTATTTAGGTTTTAACGTAAAACTCACAATTGAACTCATAACAAGTTAACCAAACAAATTCATTATAAAGTTCTCTCCAATTTCCACACTATCTTATCAAATATTGATTCATTTGACCAAGACTTTCATTATAAAATAAATATTCTTTAAAAAATATTATTATTTTTTAAATTACTTCAATACACACCTATTTTAAGTAAATATGATTTACTGTATTTCAAAAAAAAAATATGATTAACTAATTATATATCCTAAAAATATCTAAATTTTTAAATAATGTGATGTCATTAGACATAGATATATCAAAATAACATGTTTTTGTTTGTATAAATTTTATTATAACTTTGTTATCGTACATTTTTTAAAAAATACTATACCGCAAAAAATACTTATCATTATTTTAAAATAATTTTATTTAAAATTTAATTTAAGTTATATTTTGCATTTTTGACATTAATAAATTTAGAACTTATCATTTGTATTTATCTTCCTTTCTTAATTTTTTTTTATGTTGTACAAACACCTAAAACTAATTAGTTTACAATTATACTAATACGTACAAAAATATTTTGGTAAACAAATAACAATGATGTAGGAAAAAATATAAAATCACGAAGAATACAACAAAAGGTTTTATTATTATTCACTAATGTTTTTTATTTATTTCTATTTTTATTATTAAAAATTAACATGTCAATTTTATTTTACTCAAAGCTATATGAATAGAATAATTCTAGTCTCGTATTAATATAATTCAACTATAATACCATTTTGTCATTGAAAATGATTGATTTTTTTAATTATATATTTGACTATTTTACATTTATTTGATATATTTTTAGAATATATGTATATAGTGGGTATAATTATTATTAGGTTTATATTTATTATTGTATTCACTAAAAATATAACATATTAAAATATCTTTGGATCATCATTTTTTGTCGGAGAGATTAAGATTTGCAAATATCCGTTTATATTTAAATAATTTATATAATGTAATCTATGATAATAAATTGCTTCAATGAATAAATTATGTTAATTTGTTTATATTTAAGATGTTTGGTTGTTTATTTGGTAAGATAGTTAGATAAAGTAATTCTATTATTAGTTTCTTTTTAAAAACTTTAATTAAGTAAATAAAAATTCAAATACCAACAACCAATTAAATTAAGAGAATTAATTATAAACTTCACCTATGAATGACACCTAAGCAAAAATCACTAAAGTGACTTCTCATCTAATATATAGTAGGATATCAACTAACAGCGCATTTTCATTATAAACCATCTGCAAATTATAATATGAGCGTTGATTCAACATTTATTTGGGCTCCTACGCAAAATTTTTTTTTTTACTTTTAATCTTTATATTTATGAAAAATTTAAATATATTATATATAATTTATCATCAATATTTTATAAAATTTTTAATGAAATATATTATGTATATGTAAAATAATTTAGGGTCTTTTCTCAATTAAATTTTGTAAATATTTAAAATTTTGTATAAAAATATGTATATATAAAAAATATTCAATCCTTTAATTAGTAAGATCGGGAGACATGAATTTGGATCCGAAGCGGCTATAATGTTTGTCCCCCATGTAAGCCGACCCTGTATATTATACTAACATTCCTGTTGAAATATACTGTAAAGGAAACTTTAGCATAAAGCACTGATTCATTTATTACAAATATAGGCGAAGTCAGTTGGTTGAATATGTTAACAAAAAAAGAAATACTTGAATATGCTGCTAGAGGGGAAAGAGCCGACGATCTATAAGTTGGTGGAACGAAACTTTATTATATAAAAAAAAAAAAAGATAAAAAGGGTGGTGGAGCCAAATTGAATAAAGCCCGTACATATCGTTATCCACCCCCTTGCCTTGCAGCCTCTTATGTAATATTCTTATGGGGCCCATTGGCCCTTAGACTTTATTAGAATTCCTACTACTATTAACTTTGTGCATGTGGATACCAAACCGGAATTGATTGTTTCCATTGTGTAATTAATAAACCAAACCGGAACTGATTGTTAACCGAAACATCTCTGTGGTTGCTTTCTAATGTCTGCAGGGAAAGTTTGATAAGTTGAGTGCCTTGCATCAGATTCTTAAATCCTAACATGTTAACAATATGTTTAGTATTGTTTCTGGTGGTGGTTAACACATGTCGAGGACTATGAGTGATAAGTTTCTTGGGCTTCCAACTTAAAACCAATTGGCAATTAATGGATTGGCCCAAGTTCCTTATATATTATTCATGTCTCATTCATATTTCCGATGTGGGATCTTTAATCCCAACACCCTCCCTCGAGATAATGGTGCATATAACCATTAATCTCGCACAATCCATCATACCCCTACCGAGACAATGCTTTTTTTTTTCTTCTAGCAATCTCGATAGAACTGAGCCTTCTATTGGCCATCAGCTAATGGGTTGATCGGGCCACTTTCCGGGCCGGATTAATGGGTCAGGGTGTGGACTGGCTCTGATACCATGATAAGTTTCTTGGGTTTATTATGGGCTTCCAACTTAAAACCAATTGGTAATTAGTGGATTGACCCAAATCCCTTATATATTACTCATGTCCCATTCATATTTCCGATGTGGGATCTTTAATCCCAACACCCTCCCTCGAGATAATGGTGGGTCTAACCATTAATCTCGCAGAATCCATCGTACCCCTACCGAGACAATGATTTTTCTTTTAACAATCTCGATAGAACTGAGCCTTTTCTGGGCCATCAGCTAATGGGTTGATCGGGCCACTTTCCGGGCCGGATTAATGGGTCAGGGTGTGGGCCGGCTCTGATACCATGATAAGTTTCTTGGGCTTCCAACTTAAAACCAATTGGCAATTAATGGATTGGCCCAAGTTCCTTATATATTATTCATGTCCCATTCATATTTCCGATGTGGGATCTTTAATCCCAACAATGAGATCATAAATTTGGCTAGAGAAATATTCTGTTTTTTGTGTTTGCTCTGCTCTTGGTAGACCAGAAACTTTGATCAATACTCTCCGTGAATGTTTTGCTCTCCTATCCTTTTTTTTTAACATTTCTTATATTATGTTTTGGAGACCTCTTCTTTGTTATTATACATCAAAAACTTTAGCTTACAGAATAAACAATCTTTTTTTTTTTTTGATATTTGGTTAATGTAGGTATGTAGCTGTATATTATTCAATCTTGTATTTTCGATATCGTGCTGGAACTGTTACAGATGAGATGCTCTCGGTGCCTAAGATGCCATTTTTAATTCTCGGCGTCTTGCAGGCTTTAGCTGCAGCTGCTGGGATGGCAGCCACAGGTATCAATCATCACATTACCTTTTATGCTAATATCCATTCCTTCCTTACTCACACTTGTTTCTGCATTCTTATAATCTTAAATGGAATATTAAACCAAAATTTAGCTTTACAATTTTTATTTACACTATATTCAACTCATTTTTATTTTTTTTCTTATACTTCTTTACTTAGCAAATCTTTCGGGGCCATCTACTACAGTTTTATCTCAGGTTAGAAGCAGTATAAGTACAAGCTGAAAGCTCTGATTGTCTTAAAAGATGAGTGCATTTACTTACCTACTCGTTTGTTTCTTTGCAGACATTTCTTGTCTGGCAAATCTTCTTCTCCATTATATTTCTCGGGAGGAGATATAGTGTTAATCAAATACTCGGATGTACACTTGTAGCTCTTGGTGTAGTAGTCAGTGTGGCAAGGTGTCCTCTTGTTTGACATTACTTTTGGTATTTTCACAAAGGATATGAACCACTAATAGTATTATCATTCCATCTCTGCAGTGGATCAGGTGCTGCTCATTCCTTAAAGGAAGCTGGGCTATTTTGGATTCTTCTTATGGTACTTTCTTTCCTTTTTCAAGGAGCAGATACAGTTTTGAAGGTCCGTTAATCACAATTTGACAAGTCAAAACTAGTGTCATTATTCTATTTAATCTCAGATTCATTTTTCTTAATAGGAAGTCATCTTTATAGATAGCCAGAAAAAATTGAAGGTACATAAAAGAGTTTTTTTATTTATTTATTCTGTATGCTTGAGATTCTGAAAACTCATCTGTTCTTTACTATCATAGGGAGCTTCACTCGATCTTTTTATAGTAAATTCATATGGTTCGGCCTTCCAAGTAAGTACTCTCTAAGCTCTGACTTGCATCGCAAGCAAAATAACTTTGCCTCTGATTTTTGTGACCAATTCAGGCTATATGCATAGCGTTGCTTCTTCCATTTCTCTCAAAACTTTGGGGCATACCGTTTAACCAACTCGGTAGCTACCTAAAAGATGGAGCGGCATGCTTTCTCAACATTGGGACAATGGCGAAAGGATGTGACGGTGCTCCATTGTTGCCTCTATTGTTTATAATAGCAAACATTGGATACAACATTGCGCTTTTAAGACTCCTCAAGATCTCATCGGCTGTGGTTTCATCTCTTGCATCAACGGTTTCAGTGCCAATTGCAGTGTTCTTGTTCACATTGCCATTACCGTATCTTGGAGTTGCATCATCACTTCCAAAAGGGTTCATGGGAGGAACGATGATACTTGTGTTGGGGATGCTTGTTTATAGTTGGGCACCACAAGGACCTAACCCTTCTCATACTGATTCAGTCATTCCTTCACCTCCAGGAACGTAGAGAGGGTTTATTATGTTCTTTTTGTTTTACAATCTGAGAGATTTATGAATAAATCAAATTAGAAAAAGATAATGTAAGATCTGAATATCATAAAATATTTCGATGATGTTAATTGGAAAAGTTGACATTTTTGAAATTTGCTAGCTCAATTTTCATATTATTATTTGGTGATTATTTTGTTCATGGAATACATGCACAGGTAATGAAAATTTCCAACAAAATAAGGATTAAATTTCTTAATACATGCCAGATATAATTAGATAACTTTTGAAACATGTCAATATATAAAAGGATTAGGCAAAAATAAATCATGCAGTAAAGTGATTTGACATTTGACAGATAGAAATCTATAGGATTTTGTCCAAAAGTCTATAGGATTAGCTCTCAACCTTTGTTCTAAAATCCTAAACGTCTTTTTTTTTTACTTTAAATAACAAATTTACAGACAAGCTTTGGTCCTAAACTTCCTCCCTATGAACAAAACCCTTTGAACCCAAGGCTAACGACGAGATCAAAACATTCTTTCCATAGCCATTCAACAACCAAAACACCTAACCTTTTCTTGCTCTAGAAGAAACAAAAACCAGAGGAAAACCAAAAACAATGATACAAAGAGAATAAAACACACACAAAAAAAAAACTGTCCATCTCTCTTCCTCCTTGAGCTTGTTACCTCCTTCCTCCCCCAACAAAGGGGAACTGTTTTTCTCACGGATGTGACTCAGCCGATGGATACACACACGACAAGAGCATAACAGCTGGTCCAACTGCTGAAACCACAATCCAAACACGCCCCTCCTTCTCCTCCTCCTCCTGCAACAAAACAAGGTCCTATAGGACCTGTCTTAGGTCGACCTATGGAAGATGTAAAATCTTCATACTCTCTAGGCAAAGAGCTAGGGAGAGGACAGTTTGGTGTCACCCACCTCTGCACTCATAAATCCACAGGTCAGCAATTTGCTTGCAAGACCATTGCTAAAAGGAAGCTTGTGAACAAAGAAGACATTGCGGATGTAAGAAGAGAAGTGCAGATAATGCATCACCTTACTGGTCAACCAAACATTGTTCAGCTTAAAGGAGCTTATGAGGATAAACATTCTGTGCATTTGGTCATGGAGCTTTGTGCTGGTGGAGAGTTGTTCGATAATTGCTAAAGGACATTACTCTGAGAGAGCTGCTACTTCTTTGTTGAGAACCATTGTTCAGATTGTGCATACTTGTGAAGCCTGAGAACTTTCTGTTGCTTAACAAAGATGAGAACTCTCCTCTTAAGGCTACTGACTTTGGGCTTTCAGTTTTTTACAATCCAGGAGATGTGTTCAAGGATATTGTGGGTAGTGCTTATTACATAGCACCAGAGGTTTTGAAAAGGATGTATGGACCAGAAGCTGATATTTGGAGTATTGGTGTTATGTTGTATATCATCTTATGTGGTGTTCCACCCTTCTGGGCTGGTAAAGATTAACAAGATCTAGAGATGTTTTTTAAAATATATATTCATGTGTTGTGGTTACTTGATGATCATAGAATCTGAGAATGGAATATTCAATGCCATTTTAAAGGGACATGTTGATTTCTCAAGTGATCCATGGCCATCTCTTTCACCTCAGGCAAAGGATCTTGTTAAGAAGATGCTCAACTCTGATCCTAAGCAAAGACTAACTGCTGCACAAGTTCTAAGTAAAAGCATATACCAAACACACAATCAAAGCATAAACAATCTCTCTCCATGCCAATTAATGTTTTTTTTTCCTTTGTAATAAAGACCATCCATGGGTCAAGGAGGATGGAGAAGCACCAGATGTTCCTCTTGACAATGCAGTGATGCCAAGGCTCAAGCAATTCAAAGCAATGAACAATTTCAAGAAAGTTGCATTACGGGTGATAGCAGGTTGTTTATCAGAGGAAGAGATCATGGGGTTGAAGGAGATGTTCAAAGGTATGGACACTGATAGCAGTGGAACAATTACACTAGAGGAGTTAAGACAAGGACTCGCTAAGCAAAGTAAAAGGTTGTCAGAATACGAAGTCCAACAGTTAATGGAAGCTGTAAGTCCTTTTACAACAATTCTAGCTTTTGTCATATACAAGAAAGGAGACTCACCACTGTTCTTTTTGCTCTGATTCTCTACAGAATGATGCTGACGGTAATGGAACAATAGATTATGGTGAGTTTATTGGAGCCACAATGCATATAAACAGTCTTGACAGAGAAGAACATCTCTACTCAGCCTTCCAACACTTTGACAAAGACAACAGTGGGTAAGTGTTTTGTTGTATAAATTGATTCTTAAAATATTTCAAAACAGCTTGTTAGGAATCCATATTGTTCCCCAGGTATATCACAATGGAAGAGCTGGAGCAAGCTCTCATGGAGTTTGGCATGAATGATGGCAGAGACATTAAAGAGATCATTTCAGAGGTCGATGGAGATAATGTAAGAAACAAACAGTCGTCCTCTTTCAAAAGCATCTAACAATCACATTATTAAACAAAACAAAATTTGTGATGCAGAGGATGGTCGGATAAACTATGATGAATTTGTGGCAATGATGAGAAAAGGATACCCTGATCCTATCCCAAAGAAGCGGCGTGAACTTTCATTTAAATGACAAAAAATGTTGAAGTAGAGAGAAAATAGAAAGAGAGGAGAATCAGAAGATAGAAAGAGAGGAGAGCAGGACTCGAGAAACTCATGCTAATCATTGTACTGGAGGAGATCTTTAAGGGAGGAGAAAGGCTCAAGAAGTATATATCAATTGGAAAGGTGTTCGGGTAGTATGTACATTTTCTCTTCGAGTTGTTTAGTAATATTGCTGCTTAAAGTGCCATGGGGTTTCTCAATGTACTTAAACTTCTCTTGTATGTGTTAGTGATAGCTGTTCTTACTTACTAGCAAAAACACTTGAAAACATACAAAGATGAACAATGGCAAAATGCAAAGAAATATCATAGAGAAAATTGTTATTACAGAACAGGGTTGGACCCTCTAGAATCATCAACTGCATTAAAAAGTAACATCAATAGCTATGAAGTAACATCAACTGCATTAAAGATATGTTTTTATCCATTGCTTTATCAATATAAAGGACAAAGAGCAAATTTTGAATCAAGGACACGTGTTTTACTTATCTATGGTAGAGACACCATATTCCTCCTGCAACTTAGCAACCTCTTCTTCATTCTTCTTCTGATCAAACTTCTTGCTCATCTCCCTCTCCTCCGCCGACTACGGCCACTCACGACGCGTTCACCTCCACATCTACATCGATCATTTCCCACTCCCACAAAAGGTTTCTCCTCTTTATTACAAGTTTCTGGAACGTGTGATTCTTAGTTACTACTATGATGGTATCAGTTTTAATCCTTATATCTATGGAGCTTCTCTTCAGAGACCAAGGTTCGTTCCAGGTACCATTTTTCTTTTCTGTGTGTTTTCTTTTTTGAACATAGGATCTGAGTAGTATTAATTAGAGATGATGGTTTTTTTGAGAATCAATCTCGTGTCGATGTGGATCGCGTTATGATAGCATGTTAAGTTACTTATGATTCACCAATTGGTAATAAGTAGAATTGATCCATATTTCTTATATATTATTTAAATATGTTCCAAGCGTCCAATGTGGAAGACTTTATGTCTAATACTCAAGTTTTACTATGGATCAGTAGAAAGTAGGTTTTTATGTGCTTATGGTTTAGTGTTTGTGTGCAGTTGTCATTGTTTAATATGTATTGGTTCAATACTCGAAACTTGCTCTGCCAAGCTTAATGCTCGAAACCATATTGTCATAGGCCTTGGCTCTGAGTTGTTTGTATGATCTTTCAAGAAGGGGACATTATGTGATTGATGCTGATATGTTTCTCCACAAGGTGTTAAAACGCAAAACTTCTCACTCTAACACGGTTAAGGAGGCTGTGTGTAATGCTTAGAGCTTGGATACAGCATATGGGTATAACTTCTGGTGATGGCATCGCAATGATTCACACGGAGCATTTGTGAAAGCATGAGTTATTTATTTTATATATAGAATCATGCAATTTTTTATGTATAACTTATTTAAGAGATGTGAAACTGATAATTGTGTTATAGATTCTAAAAGCAACACAAGCAAATGGTATTCGTTTTAGATCAATAATAGCAAGAATCTATAGTTTCTTTTCTTAGCCTACAAGGCTACAGTTTTGGAGTTTAAACCAATCTGTATGCATTGTGAAAATGACACTAGCATCATAAACGTTTATTAAAGCATAGGAGTCACTTCACTAGTCCTAAAAAGTTTTGGACATTCTGCGTATGTAGCAATGAAACTGCAAGTGACAAAAGTACAATGTGTCACCTTTTCCATGTGTGTAATTACTTCATCAAAGTCAGCTACAGCCATCTGCACGCAGTTGGAAGCTTGGGTTTGATATTTCGACACGATTAAATCACCAAACTGAAGTAAATAATTGAACCCACGGGTCCAAACAACCAAACACAAAATCTTGTTGAAAGAGAAAGGTTACCAGATCTCTTTCCAGATTACACTAACCTGTCCCTATAAAAAAGATTATGCGAAGACGATCTGCCCACTAAAATTCTCTTTATTTTTTTTATTTATTTCTCAAGTATGATTGATAGTCATGGGTGTGGGTGGGGGTATTCACGTCACGTGTGTTTAATTAACTAGGCAAGGTCCACCAGAGGATCAAGGATGTTAATACTAGTTTTAACATTTCGGATCATTAAACTAACTGGTTCGTACACAATGAACTTTATATTTCTAATTCAATACTATAATACTACTATGTTTCATTGAATATATAACTTTGTGGAGGATGGACATGCATGAATCACGACGGAACGTCACCTCCACGTACTCTCCTGAATGCTGCTAAAGTTGGCTCAATATGATATATCTATTCAGATTTTATTTTCAGAAAAATATCTGACTATATTCAGATATCACCGCGTCTCTCCAATCCAAACCAGACTCGTCGTACTATGTTGAAAAATATCTAGAGACTATGTTCTAAATAGTTGATTAATTCTAACGAATTATTGTGTTTCATTTTCATTAAGAAAATATGGGATATTCTGATACTTTCGACAACCTATGCAAAAAGCGGTCTGTTTTAGAACATTATTATGTTGAAGAAAACATGATGGAAGATGAAAAAAATAGTGAAGATGAATAAAAAGTTTTAAGAAGTGTTGAAGAATAAAAAGTGCAGAAATTAGTTAATTAACTAAATAGTGTTAATCTAGAGTTTCTTATTGAATCTCTCACCAATTAAAAAGAAATTAAAAGAGATAATTGGCTAAAGTACCTTATTTGGCACCTATAATTAGCGAAATAACCATGATTTGATTGTTGCTTTTCTTTGGACCATTATGCTCTTCTCTACATTCTCTCTCATCTCCTTGGCATCTTCCCTTTTTTTCTCTTCAATCTCTAATTATTCTACAAATCTCTATCATTCTATATACAATTAAATTTTAAATTTCATTATTTTTTCATAAGTGGCTTTGAATCCTCAATTTTTGACCTTTTTTTTTTCTCTTCAATCCCTAATTATTTTACAAATCTCTATCATTCTATATACAATTAAATTTTAAATTTCATTATTTTTTCATAAGTGGCTTTGAATCCTCAATTTTTTGACCTTTTTTCTCTTCAATCCCTAATTATTTTACAAATCTCTATCATTTTATATTCAATTTAATTTTAAATTTCATTATTTTTTCATAAGTGGCTTTGAATCCTCAATTTTTTGATGATATCAATTTTCTGGGTTTTAGATTCGACGTCCTGTTAGCGGTTAACAAATATTGTAGACGTTAACAGAAGTGTTAGTTGTTAACAATTATTTTTACGCTTCGCGTTAATAATTGTGTTCGCTGTTAACAAATATTGTAGACGTTAACAGAAGTGTTAACTGTTAACAATTATTTTTACGCATTGCGGTAATAAATGTGTTGACTGTTAACAAATATTGTAGACGTTAATAGAAGTGATATATGTTAACAAATGTTTTTACGCTTCGTGTTAATGAGAGAAAAGAGAAAGGGCATTCTCGGCATTTTCTTGCCAAATGGTTGTGTTTGTGTTCTTCATGTCCAATCAATGGTATTTTGCTAATTTGAGTTTCAAATATGAATAGTTCACTAAATCATTCAAATTAAAAGGTGTTATTTTCTTCAGAAACTCTCTTTTTAACCTCATGAATTAGTCTAGTACTCTTTGACCCTGATCACCCTATATACTCTTTGAATTGGTATTATTATCAGCCCAAGAGAGAAAAAATCTGGACCTTTTTGTACATGTGACACTTCAGCTTTTCCCCATGGCAGAGAAGCATATGACTAGACAGCTCATTGCACACCTCACAGTGCTACCCATATGTATCACACCCAAAATCGGCCACTCCGCCACCAAAATAGCACTGACGATCTTTTCATAATTGTGTCTTCTTCTTCTTGGTTAGCTTTCTGACGTTTCATTATATTTCCTCTTGTTAATCACTTCCAATATTTTACCTCATCGTCAAATTTTTAAACAAAGATGAAAAATCTAACGCGTTAAAATAACTTTTTAAAAGGATTTGTAAGGATCAAACACATAACTACTCATTATGTCACATAGATAAAGGATTAAACAAAGAGAGAGAGAGAGAGAGAGAGAGGTTTTAAGTCTTGATCTGATTTAAACCTTTTACCAAATCCTTATTATTTAATCGATTCAATAGTTTTCTTACATCATGCATTTGGGTCTTTTACAAAAGCCCTATTTAAAACTGTTATTTTAACGTGTACCTTTGAAAAAAAAAAGTAATTAAACAACAACAATAATAAAAAGATAGATAGATTTTGAGTGTTGAGTTCATTTAAACCCTTTTATAAACCCACACCTTACAATTTAATCGATTCAATATTCGTCTTTCCATCATGGGCTCTTTCAAAAAAACCCTTCAAGTAGTCTGAATAAACAACCTTTTTATACTTAGCCATCTCATTGTTCTCTTCTAACACCTCTGGTAACGGCTCTATAACCGAATCATTAACCGGTCCGTAGAAAACCGGAATAGAAACCCGGCTACAAGACTTATTGACCAGCACACAATGTTCCACGCTCCTGTACCTATCATTGCTCATTATCTGTAACACGTCTCCAATATTAACAACAATTGCTCCTTGAATTGGAGGGACATTAATCCATTTTTCACCGTCCTCGGTGGCTCGAGCATAGAGGCTGCTCAAGACACCGTCCTCTTGTAGGAGGAGAGTGAGTGTGTTGATGTCTGAGTGGCGACCAGCTCCTACTGCGAGGCTTGGATCAGGACATTCCGGATAGTAGTTGAAATTCATTCTCGTTGTTCCCATTAGTGTTTGTTCGCAAGACTCGTTGATGGTTGAGTTTAGATTGTTGATGAGTATGTTTAAGATCTTATTGGCTATTGGTTTCATCTTCTTGAAATGATCTGTCACTTGTTCCCTACACAACGTTATGAAACCATAGTTTACGTTTAGCTGCTTTAGCGTTGTAATTATATTCCAAAAATATATTTAGCTATAATTATTTAATTATACTTTTTTATGTTTTTAAAATGGGGACTTTGATAAGATAAAAAAGTTGCGACAAAAATAAACTACTCAAAACCTTTTTTTTGTGCACGACTCAAAAGCTAAAATGACTAATTAAGTTACTTCGAACCTTAAACTTCTACCTAATCCCACCTAATAAATATTAAACACTAAATCCTAATAGTGAATTCACATTTTAAAAAAAATGTTAAAACTTTTAACAGTGTTTGTTTTAGAAGAAAAAAGTGTTATAGTGTTATTCAACGTTTTTTTTTTCTTATCTAAACTGATAAAACCAAACAGCAAACATAACTGATGTTGTCTACAGATGAACTGTACTTACTTGCAGACAGGAGGCCACGTGGCAGCGAAGCCATGACGTTGAGGAAGAAACTCAAACTTGATAAAGTCTCTCCACTCAAGAACACTCTCTTTGTAAGGATTGAAACTAGTGGTCAGCCACGCCGTCTCCGACACCGAACTTCCTCTCCAATACCTTCTCCTCTCCTCCACTGGCAACTCAAAAAAACCACGCGCCGCCGCGACCAGAGCCGTCAACTCCGCGGGAGCTATCCCGTGGTTCACTATCTGAAACAACCCGAGCTTAGCCGATGCATCGCATATCTCACTAGCCACGCGAGGGTCATCCCAGTTGGACACGTCGATGACAGGAACTGGTGATGATGATGATGAGAGGATCTTGTCGGAAGAGAGACGTTCTTGGGGAGGTTGGATGTATGGAGAAGAAAGTGTGGTTAGTTTCTGAGAGTCGACGAGCCCTTTAACTCCGTTTCGTTGGCTCACAACGAACTCTCTCACGTCATTGGTTGTAGTAGTCATGGTTAAGATAATAAGCTAGTGAGTGAATGAATATATTTATATGATAATGGATATCCTCTTTTATAACATGAAAAAGACCTAAAAGTCATTATGGTTTATTCACCTAAAAGTTAGCTCAGATTGGGCAATAAAGAAAAACATGTACTATATCAGAAAAAAAAAATCATGTTGGCCACCACATCACCTAATATGGTCAATGTCATTTTCAATTACAAATTGGGTTAAAAGGCCAACCAATCGCAAACCTCAACACCCACTGTCTTGATTGTTCAGGTTACAGACCCCAATCTCATAACTCTCTCCGTTTCTGCCAACCTCCAGCTACAGCTAGACAATAAGGTTCCACATGTTACCACTTGTATTTTCTTTTAAATTATAATAGAACCAGATTCACTAAAAGATGAAGTGAGACTGAAAATGGTTGGTGAACATTGATGCCAACGTCATACAAGACCACCAAAAAAATAAAAATAAAAACAGGATTGAGTAAAGAAGAAACCCACATGGTGAATCTAAAAACTATCTTTCAAGTGTAACTTTGTTTACCATCTCAAGAAGAGAAAAAGAGGCATACATTGATTGCTAAAATCTCCTAAAAAGGTGTCAAGCAATCATTGCTGGTGAAGGAATAAGTTATTGTCGTTTCAGAGTAGGAAGCAAACAGTCATAAACTTTTACTAGCCGTTGCGTCACCGTTAATTTATACGACGTTTGCTGCTGTGGCTTTCCTAACTCGATCAGATCTTGTTTCACGCTGTTTATAACAACACACATCAGTCAGTTCTAACACACCCGGAACACAAAAAAATCTAAAAGGCAGGCAAATAAGAAGCGGACGCCCATGAGTTCACATTTTGTATCTAAAACTAAAGAGTGAGCAGAAAATGCTTTTGCTTCCTTATCTAATTGGTTTCAGCTAAACGTTTAATGGGATCATAGTGAAAAAACTTACAAATCCCACTCGCCGCTTGTTCTTGCAGGTTTCTCAACAACCCGGTACAAACGCTCAAGGCTGTATATTAGCAAACCAAATACATTTTCTGCATCCTTATCCTGTAGCAGCATCAAGAAACAGTCTTGGAAAACTTTACAGGAATTTTTCAAAGACGCTTTTGTAAAATAATAGCACAAATAAAATGGTGGACATCTTACACGTCCTTGTTCAATGTAGCTCTGATACTGCATAATTCTCTTTTCAATTTCAACTACCAGTAGCCTCCTGTGAATACGTGCAATTCTTCCACGTCCTTGAGCTCTGCTATCCTATTCATAGCAGTGAAATCAAACGGCATAAAGATCAACAGTAGCTAACTATAAAACCTGAACGAACCACATGTATATTACTGTCACATTTAGTTTGGCTTTTGAGTTATCAATCTCCTCACCTGTTTAAGCCATGTCCGAAGCAATGTGAGCATACCAAGGCTGAGAAAGAATGCAGGTAATGCTGCCAGAATGGCAAAGTTTATTTCATTTGCACGAAGTATCTGATCTAGTTCAAGCATCGCTCTGCAGGAGAAGATTATTCAGTTATATACAAAATGATCAAGGGATATAATACAGTTAACTTGGAGCTACTGGTTTACAGAAATTACGTTTCTATATCCAGTTTAAGCTTCTGGACCTGAAAGATAAAAACAATTTGATGTGATTAGAATCTCACAAACAGTAATCCACAGCTTCATGCTAAGAACTTAAATTACCTGGATAAGCAACCCGCGTGCAAGCTCTCCGTTAAGAAGGTTATGAATAGGGTGCACAAGTTCTTTTTCATACCTGAAAGTAGAAGGCAAAGTTCAATACATACCCATCTCACTGTAGTCGAACTTTTATATTGCGGTATTTTATAACAGTCATGAGGAGACGGTCATATTTGTTGTTCATTAGCGCAAAGTAGAATGCAGAATGAATGTAGCGCCAATTGTTTCCTTGCTAGTCGATGTAAAGGCAATTTAGCTGCCGAACAACAAATAATGTTCAGAGTTGTACCGGTTCATAACAACTTCAAGCATCTCCTGATCAGATGCATTATCTGGGACTTTTTCAGGCTTAGCCTGCTCGCAAAAATTCTTCAGCATTCTGCATAGCAAATAGAAAATTAGAAGTGTAGCCAGAAATAAGATGACTAAAAGAATGATTACAGAAATTTTTGGTTGTGGTTATTTGAACCCCCAGATCAGTGAACAAATATGATGATATGAATATAACAAGTGAAATGCTATGATGAAAAGGGAACTATGCACGCACATATACAATAACAAGTAAGTGCAACCAGTATGAAAAGGATCAAGGGAATGTATATAGACCTATGCAGTGAGTCTTGCGTCAGCAGCACCTCTTCAGTATCAATTACACTCTTGTGCCTTTTCCGGAAAGTATCAAAAAGTTCATCCCTAATGGCAAGTAGCTGCAAGATAAAGAGACAAATTCAAAAAAAAAAAAAAAGAGACAAATTCAGAAAATTCCAGGCTAACAAAAAGTCAAGTAGCATTTCAACTCGCCGCACATGAACCACACTGAGAGTCGCATTAGCCTCACTTTTTTTACTTTATCTTATAATCCTTTTATAGAGTTCTATTCAACAGGCCATTTGGATCAGGATGAAAGTTACTAGTTGCATTTAAAATCTGAGAAGGCTAAGAACAAACCGGTTGCTCAACGTGATCACTGAAGAAGCTCATTGTTGCTTCTTTTGCATCATGAATCCAATTGTCGATGTCAGAACTTCCCATCAAACTACTATGACGTAGCAGCCATACAGAGAAAACAGAAAGACCAACTGCACCACATGTATATCGGACCCAGTACAGAGTCATTCTCCTTGGCTTTCGATGCTTGCCTACCTATAAAAAAATCAGAAAAAGGGAAAATCTTAGAATTGATCGCAATGAAGGCTATTTGTCATTTACATGATGATTTTTTGTATACAAGAATACTGGAAAATATTAATAAACTACAGCTACACCTACCATAACTGATAAATATGAGTTGAGTTTTTCCAAATTCTTATGAACCAGGTTGATAGCGTCTGTGAGTTCACAATCAGTCCACTGAGATCCGTCTTCGTTAATTTCAGGCAGTCGATCAAATACTAGCGGCATTGAGTAACTTTCATCAACAGAAGAATCAGACTGCCAATATGATGCAAGTCAACAAATACGAGAAAACAGAAGAATCAGGGCCATTATAAATGATAAATCTTCACAGAATTGAAGGTAAGGTCAACACAACTAATAAATCAGTGTGTGTTACCTCACGCACAGCATGTAAATGGCTGAACGAACCCTCCAAGTTGGAAAACAATCCATTGATAACAGCCAACAGTGACGGCATTGACTTCTCTGGATTCTTCAAAAGATCTTCGCCACGTTTATCCAATTCAACATAAAGCTAGAGAACCCATTGAAATTAGTGACATTAGTTCACTGCCAAAACAATGCTACACTAATACATAACTTTATGATAAAAGAAAGGTAAAAAGATTGCTAGCTACACGAACGGACAATACGTCACCACCACATGACCACACATCTAAACAATAATAATATATTAAAAACTACACAAACTATATGAATCAAACAACATCTAAAAACTACAATGTGTTATGTTGCTAACACCATCAACATACTTTGGATAACCATAAAAGTATATTGGACTAATAACCCAGCAGTTTCTCACTATACTAAACATATTTAAATTGACACACTAGCACATAACTTTATGATAAAAAAAAAAAAAAGGAATGAAACTTCCATGATATAACCTGAGCAAGAAAGGAAGCAAGCGCAGATCTCAACTCCATCAACACCCTCATCCTATCAGACATGTGAGACGAAGACGACTGACAAAGATGCTGAATCGCAGAATCCTCACTAAGACTTCTACGAACTAGGTTCGTACTCTCATTCACAAAAGCTCCTGGTCCTCTCTCAAAGATCATGAAGTAAGCTTTTCGAGCATTAGAGCCCTGTAGTCAAAAATGCCACAAATAAACATGACGTTCACTAGCTAATAAAATGTAATGGCATCTCCAACGGCACACTGTTTTTTCCTCTATAATAGAGTAACTCTGTTAGGACATCTCCAATAAAAAACAATTTCCGCTCTATATTTTACTCCAAAATAGAGTAACTCTATTATAGAAATTCAATTTGCTTGAATGGTTCTATTATAGTGTGAATGGACTATCATACTGTGAATGGAGTAAAAAAAACAATACCTCTCTATATTTCAAACTATAATAGAGTAAGGGGGTGACTGGTAGTTGCTGTCCACAGACCTATTTATTTTTACAGCACTAAATTAAGAGCAATCAAGTTTTAATTTTTGTTTTGAAACCACAGCTCTTGAAATGACCTACAGCTATACAAATGCTCTGCAGAGCCAAATATCCAAAGCAATTTTCTAGTGCTTTCCAAAAAATCTCCAGCAATAAAATCTAAAGCCACCGCAAAAGGTCTACAGATTTTTTTCTACAGCAAAAAAACTTTAAAGTTCCATTACCAATCAGACCCTAACTATACTATAGAGTAAACCACTCAAGCAAATTTATCTCTATAATATCTATAAGAGATTTACTCTATTTTAGAGTAAAATATAGAACGAAAAAAAATAGTGTTCTATTGGAGATGGTTTATATACTAAACATTTGTGCCAATGGTATTACTTCTATTATAAACTATTTATAACGTAAACATAGAGGAAAAAATAGTGTGCCGTTGGAGATGGACTAGTAATGTTAGTGTTTGATTGATTTGACCTCAGCTCTAGACTGCCAGAAATCCAAACTTTTCTGAATATCATGCAAGTTGGAGAGAACGTCAGCCATTATCTCCTCCAACACAACGTAAATCCTCGACGCATCGGCCGTTACGTTGCTGAAAGAATATCAACAAAGTCAATATATATAAATAAGCTCAGAACTCGAATAAGTAAGTTACGGAATTACATAAAGAGGAGAGGAGAGATGAATCTTACGTAGAGGGGCATGGGAACTCGGAAGAAGGGAGAGGAAGAGGGAAGGATATACGTCGCGTTTTCGTGGCGAAGGTTTGGCGATAGAGATTTGAGAATTTTCGGAGGAGAATTGAGTTAGAAGTGGGAAGCAATGAGGTGACGCGGTTCCAGAGGTAATTGGAATAGAGAGGAACTAGGTCTCCGACGTTTGACGGTGAGGATTCGTTCGCCGGAGGTTGAGAATCCATTAAAGTCGGCGCCGGCGGCTGCTTTCACTCAAAGTATCAAAAAAAAGAAAATCTCGGTTCAACCTTTCGGTACAGAGAGATATTTGGGAGTTTTAAAATGGATTTAAAATAAAATGTAAATATTTGGATCCTCATTGGGCTATTATTGGGTCAGGAGGGCATATAAATACTGGGCCGATAAATATCCTTTATCGCATTTAATAAAATTTTGGGCCGAAGTTGCGGTAAAGGATAGATGGATGAGAGACGTAAGTAGTGAACTTGAACAAAAGGTATTGTGATAAAAATGCAATATTTTGTGTATAGATCCCCCACAAATACCATTGATATTAGCATAATTCGTATAGTGATTGGATAATTCGTACAGTGATTGGATAATAGTTTAGGGCTTATTTGTCGATGTTTAGGGTTTATAGTAATTTGGTTATTGTATTTCTTAATTAGTGCTATTTTGATCATTGTTTCTTTGTGTATAAATTTTATCTAAGTCAATTGTCCTTCTTTTAATTAGTAAAAATTTTATTTTTATATCCTCTAAGAGGAAGGGTTTTTCGTGTATCTATTTATATTTGGTTCGGATCTAGTTTTGGATTTTCAGAGTAAAAATTTAATCTCATTCGAGTATTTAGAAATTTAGATTTGAGTTCGGTTCGGATCATTTTGGGTTTGATTCGGATTTAGATATATAATATATAAATTTTTCAAAATCTAAAAATAAAAAATAATATATAACATATATATTTGAGTAATGTATGCCAAAACATCTAAATTTCACATAAAAATTAGTTTGACTGGTGGTTTGAATATTGTTTAACTATTTTAAATATTTATTTTTGATTATTTATATATATTTTAAAATATTTTAGACAACTTTAAAATATCTTATATATTTTGACTATTAACTTTAGAAATAACTAATTTATTCAAGAATATAAATTTTATTCAAATATGATTGGATATCCGAAATATTTCGGTTCAAATCGGTTCTCTAGATAACAAAATTTTAAATAAATTCGAGTATTATATCAGTTTAGGTTCAGATTCATTATATTTTTTTTATCTGATTCGGTTTAATTTTCCGGGTTCAAATTTTTTGCACATACTCTTTAGCTTGGTGTAATGGTAGAAGATCAAGCTCTAATAACAAAGAATCATATGTAACAATAGATAAGTGCGTTTGTATTTTATTTTTTTAAATAGGAAAATTGACAAAAAAAATCATGAACTTTCTAATTTAAGCCAAAAAAACCACGAACTCATAAACAAGCCATTTTATACATTAACTATTGGTGAAACACGAAAAAATCACCTATTATCGTTGACCAAGCCATTTTAGACATGTTGAAAGTCAAACCGTTAACTCCGTTAATGAATAGTTAACGATGACTTTTGGCGTGTCTAAAATGGCTTGATCAACGAAAGTATGAGATTTTATTGATTCTAGTTTAAAAGTTAAAGATTAAAATGACTTACCAAATTTTGAAAAAAAATATAATTTTTTAAAAAATTAATTTATCAAATACAAATTATTTTTTGATTTTGATAAATGCAATATACTATATAACAATGATTTTGATAAATAAATTTACTTTTGATCTTATGTAGTAATCTCATCTTAATTTCTTCTATTAATGTTTAATGTTAAGTAAATTAAACATAAGGCTATAAGTAAGACTATATTTACAAACACATAACAGTTATCCTAAACATGTAGTCATGCTTGTGTTGTGATTGTTCTTAAGATAATCCATCTAATTAGTTGATTTCATCTGATTGTGGCTAATTCACTAATTTTGCCTTATAACTCTGTGTTCATCATCCAAAGAAGATCATTATGAATTCTTTTAGCGTTGAAATCAAAGTTTACACAATTTCACGAAATCATCCTCTTTCAAGTTCTCATTTCTTCACTTGTCAATTGACACACAAGTCTTAACTATTTATCACTTATAATTTTCTAATCAGTTATTTAACCTTAAACATTAATAAAATAATTTAACATGCCCCTACTACATAAAATCATAAGTGAATTTGTTTAAGATAATCCATCAAACTTTATATCCATTTATTTTGGATTGATCTTCTATTTAATTTATTTAACCTTAAACATTAATAGAATAGTTTAAGATGAGACGATTACATAAAATAAAAATGAATTTATTTATCAAATTCATTGATATATATATATATAGTATATTGCATATTATCAAAATCAAAAAAAAAATGACAAATTATTTTAAAAAATTTGACAAATTATTTTAAAAAAATTATAAATTTTATAAATTTTGGTAAGCCATTTTAATCTTTAACTTTTAAACAGGAAACAATAAAATCTCATACTTTCATTGACCAAGCCATTTTGAACACGCCAAAAGTCAACGTTAACTATTCATTAACGGAGTTAACGGTTTGACTTTCAGCATGTATAAAATGGTTTGGTCAACGATAATAGGTGATTTTTTCGTGTTTGACCAAAAATTGATGTATAAAATGGCTTTTTTGAAAATTCATGATTTTTTTGGCTTAAATTCGAAAGTTCATAGTTATTTTGTCAATTTTCCCTTTTTTAAATAGAGAAGCATATAACATATTTTTATCAGACATATTCGCGATACTTTTCAATATATCAAATACAACATCATCAATATACCAACAAAAACCTACGATTCTTTCTCGCAACATTACGACCTAGCGAGTAAACTCAAGTTTATGTATCTTATCATAATCCATCCAAAAGATTATAATAAGATGTATAGTGGTAATTTTCAGTGCCCACATTCCCTTTTTAACATGTGCGCAGCGCAGTCCACCATACCTCCAATTATATAGTAGCGTTAAATAAATAAAATTACGATTACTAATCTTGGTTTAGTACGAAGGGGGGTGAATCTCTCTTCAATTAGCAAATCCATGCACTTCTTGATATATTTACTTGCATTCTTTGTCTTCCCATGGTCAGGTTGTCCCTGCACATGCCCTTTCACTTTTATCAAACAGTTTTATAGTTTTGTTTTGTTACATAAAAACTTTTTAAAAAAATCATTTGGAAACGTTTTCACAGTTGGCAAACAATTATGTTGTAAACCTTTCGGCATAGACTCATTCTGATACAGACTGACACTGACGCCGCTTATGTCTTTTTATTTATTTTTGGTAAATTTTACGTTTCTTATGATATACAGTTTCTTTGTATATTTTGTCAGATGACACTGTAAATACTTTTATTAAACAAATTTTTTATCGTGACAAATTTCCTCATTCATTTTTTGTTGTTGTCACATACAGTTTGAGGAAGAAAAAGACTATGCTTGTATCTAATTTTACTACACATTTGACAAGTCTAAACAAATTTTTTTGGTCATGATATACTTACAAACCTTTTGGACACCTATATCATACGGTCAGCTTTAAAGCCGGATTGCAATCCTTTCAACGACCATACACCAACTTGTTGGTGTGGGATCAAACTGCAGTCAATGGTTTTATGATTTATGAGCATGATGGTCTAAGTAAATTACTGTACTTTGTTTCGTAAAATAGTTTCATTCGATTTTTTGGTGTTAATCTTCAGTGTTATAATCCTCAACAATAAATAAGGAGTTGAGAAAATAATCAATCAGTATACATATGTCCTACCCTCCTACTTCTCTTTATATGATATATGTATACGTAGCCTCACAATCTTAAAACTCTTATGGTTAATTAGTTATGGATCGTTAAATGTGTGGTGCTGTACAAGCAGAGATGCTAATCACCATAATCCATAAGGCCACCAAGGAGAAATTAACCACATGTATATGTCTGCCGTACGTACAAATAAATTTGGTTGTTTAAATATCCATCTTCACCAGTTAGTAAACATGCTCATCAGTATTATACAAATCTTACCCGAAGACATGAGTATATTAATAGAAAGATCTGCACTAGATATTTTCTTGCGAGGGGTAAGGGGGCGAATATATCTCTCGAAAGTTCAAAAAGCCCAAACCCTATAAAGCCTACGGCGCTGGCGAATATATTAACAATTTTTTAAAGGTTGGAGCCTTTGATCTGCTCTTTGGCTTTGTTATATAAAGTAAATTCCTAAACTTATGAGTCATTTATTTAGTTATTTACTTTTGTTAGAAATGTTTGAATTCACATTCAATTTAAGTTTACTTTACCAAACACACACATGCAAGTTTTAGAAGTATATGGTAATGCATCGTCTCCAAACAAGAGTAAATATGTACTTATCTTTTTCTGACTAAAATATGTTCTTTTTTCTTTGTTCAAAAAAAAAATTGACTTAAATATGTTTTTTTTTTTTGTCATCTATGAATTGCATTAACGAAAATTGAGAGTACAAATTGTTACATGCCTTGATACAAGACCAAACATCTCCCATCCTACTAGCCAGCGTTGTGAACTTTAGTCTAAACCCAAAAAACCACATAGACTAGAAAGCAACACCAAAAGAACATAAATATAACAATGAAGAACCATCACTAAAGATATGACAAGTGATTATCTTCGACCAACCAACCAAACTCCATACAGACGACAATCCAACGAGCGTTTCCAAAGAACCTGAATATGCACGGGTTGAGACCATAAGAACAGAAGAGAGACTTGAGGAGGCCACAAACCAACAAATGCCGAAACCACAATCTCTCATGAACCAAACCCGGCAGGAACACACAACGCCACACTGAAGCAGACACGGAGCCAATACCCACTACCACCATATCTGCAACAAACCGCCAGTGATCAAGAGAGACAAAGGCACAAGGTCAAACCTTGAAACTCGAAGAGGGGACAACAAGTAAAAGGATCAGCAGCTCATACACGCGGCCCTCGTGTACCCATACTTCACCATCTACAAGCAAAAGGATGGTCACGTCCGCGCAAGAGATGAGCTGAAAATCGAGACTACTGCTTCGTCTTAATACTTCACTCCGCAAACAAGTCACAAAGAAGAAGTAAGTAGATGGCTCCACAACAGTATACCATCCAAAAATCGAACCCCAACAACAAGACCTTGACAAACATGAGACACCAACTATTCGAGGAGACAAGAGAAAGCGGAAGTAACCATGAAACAAGCATTACATACTATCGAGCCAAACGAATCCAACCAAAGAGCAAGCCAATCACTAAATCAACAAGACAAAAACAGAGCCACAAAAACAGGAGAACCAAGTGATTGAACGAAACCCCATACTTCACCGGTAACGGAACCGACGAAGTAACTCACGCCCACTAGACATAAGCACTCCAGATCTGGAATTAAACCCAACATGGCTTCAAGAAACAGAGATTGAGACCATAGAGACAAGGAGATAGGTAGTCAAGGACTGCTCCCGGCGGCGGTGAGAAGCACCGACCACCGGAGCAGTAGCAAATAGATCGACGGTGATGTCTTTTAGGTTTCGCACTTGACGGCGTCTTTTTCGTCTCGACTTAAATATGTTCTGATCATAACATTTTAGTGGCGAAATATATGGTTGACATAATATGTATATATTCGCCATATGAACTCATTGAATTGCATAGTTGTTTTGTAAGAAAAAAATGTTTTGTAAGATAAAAATGTGAAATTACAATATATATATATAACTATATATATAACTAAATTGTACTTAAAAAAGGAGTTAATTAAAGCTTATAAAGAGGAGGAAAAATACTGGAGTCAAAAGAGCAAAGACAAATGGAGTGTGAAAGGCGACAGAAACACCAAGTATTTCCATGCGTCTGTCAAAACGAGAAGAGCAAGAAACAAGCTTATTAAGCTGAATGACAAGCACGGGAGGCCTCAATTCTCTGAAGGTGCAAAGGGTGAGGTAGCTGCTCAGTACTTTAAGGAGCTCTTTACCTCTTCTTGCTCTGATGATTTCGGGGAGTTCTTTGATGGGTTTAGAAGGAGAGTTACTTTGTCCATGAACGAGCAACTTAATCGTGAAGTATCCAATGAAGAAATAAGAGAGGCTGTTTTCTCTATCAAACCATCAAGTGCTCCGGGTCATGACGGGATGACGGGTCTGTTTTTTCAAAAGTATTGGAACATAATTGGTGAGCAGGTATCTTTGGAGGTGAAGAATTTCTTTACAACTGGGGTGTTTCCTGCTGACTGGAACTACACTCAGTTGTGCTTATTACCAAAAGTACTGGATCCAGTGGAGATGATTGATTTGCGTCCCATAAGCCTATGCTCGGTTCTTTACAAGATCATATCAAAGATTCTGGTTTGGAGACTGAAACCTTTGTTGCCAGAAATTGTATCATCTACGCAATCTGCCTTTGTGGAAGAAAGACTTATAACAGATAATATTTTGATAGCACACGAGATCATCCACTGCTTGCGTACGAATGATAAATTCTCTGGAAACTTCATGGCTATTAAATCGGACATGTCTAAGGCTTACGACCGGGTGGAGTGGTCCTATCTCAGAGAGCTTCTACTTGCACTGGGATTTGAAGCAGGCTGGGTAGAGAAGATCATGTTTTGCGTCACCTCTGTAACTTTTTCTGTCTTGATCAATGATCAACCTTTTGGTGAGATTAAACCTCAGCGTGGACTTCGACAAGGAGACCCTATCTCGCCCTTCCTATTTGTGCTTTGTACGGAAGGGCTGATACATAAACTGAATGAAGCTGAGCGTTTACACAAGATTGAAGGAGTTCAGTTTGATATGCAAGGGCCAATGATCCATCACCTTCTTTTTGCTGACGACAGTCTCCTTGTATGTCAAGCTACGGATGAGCAGGCAACTGTTCTTATGGAGATTCTCGAATCATATGGTATTGCTACTGGCCAAAAGGTGAACTTACTCAAGTCGGCTATTACTTTTGGAGACAAAGTAGAGCTTGAGCAAAGAGATTCTATAAAGGAAATCACTGGCATATCAAAAGAAGGAGGAACTGGTACCTACCTTGGGTTACCCGAGTGTTTTAGCGGCTCCAAAACTGAGATGTTGGCCTATATTTATGATAGGTTAAAGGATCGTCTATCAGGTTATTTTGCGCGTTGTCTATCCCAAGGGGGGAAGGAGGTTTTGCTTAAGGCTGTGGCAATGGCGATGCCTGTTTATGCTATGTCTTGTTTCAGGTTGACAAAAAAGGCTTGTGAGAATTTAACTAAAGCTATGGCAGATTTCTGGTGGAACTCATTGGAGCATAAGAGAAAGATACACTGGGTAAGCTGGAAGAAAATGTGTTTGTCTAAGAAGCATGGTGGCTTGGCTTTCAAAGATATCCAGGGGTTTAATCAAGCGCTCCTGGCAAAGCAAGCTTGGAGGCTGGTTGATCAACCTTCTTCTCTGTTTGCACGCTTTTTCAAAAGTCGCTACTATCCGAACTCGGAGTTTCTTCTGGCTTCAATAGGGCAGAGACCGTCATATGCTTGGAGAAGTATCTTGTATGGAAGGGAGTTGCTGAAAAAGGGGTTACGAAAACAAATTGGTAATGGAAGGTCCATAGCGGTTTGGTCAGAGGCGTGGATTATTGGGAGAGAAATGCGTATGCCTCTAATGAAGAATATCCTTGTTGATCTGGAACTAAAAGTTTCTGATTTGTTGGACCCGATAACAAGAACCTGGAGGATTGATAAATTGGAGGCTTTGTTTTACGAGCAGGATATTGAATCTATTTTAAAGATGAAACCAGTAGTGGATCATGAGGACTACTGGACATGGACGCATACCAAGCAAGGTTTTTATTCGGTTAAATCTGGATATTGGCTCTATGAGCAGATGAGTGACTCGGAGGAAAAGAGAAGTGCTGAAGCACAACCATCCTTGAATGTTCTGAAGGAGGCGGTTTGGCAAGTGGAGACCTCACCAAAGATCAAGAATTTCTTGTGGAAATCCCTGAGTAATGCTATTCCTGCAGGTTAAATTTTACTGCAGAGAGGTCTTAAAATGGATCCTTGCTGCCAGCTGTGTGGCTTTGATAAAGAATCCCCGAACCATATTCTCTTTACGTGTCCGGTGGCAAGACATGTGTGGGCGCTTTCTAACATTCCGTCTCGTCAGGGTGGTTTTTGTCAATCGTCTATTTTCTCCAACTTCTACTACCTGTTATCGGTTGCTAAGGACAGGAGAATACCGCAGGAGATCACACGAACTTTTCCATGGATTATGTGGTTCTTGTGGAAAAACAGGAATTCGTGGACCTTTGAAGGGAAAACTTTTGTTCCTTTGGAGATTTTCCATAAGATTAGAGAAGAAGCGGAGTCTTGGTTTATGGCAATGCAGGCTGAGAAGGATTTGGATATTGAAAATAGGAAGGAAGACAGAGTCTGTCCAAAGAAGTGGTCAAAACCTCCAGCATCATGGTTCAAATGCAACATAGTTTTGTGTTTCTCAAAAGAAAGGAATGTAGGAGGAGCAGCCTGGGTTCTTCGTGATCAGAATGGAGAGGTTGTTTTACACGCAAGGCGTGCTGTACACGGTTGTCTCGGTGCCAATGAGTTTCAATTTGAAGTGATGAAATGGGCTCTTTCGAGTATGGCTCAGCATCACATTAACAGGGTAATCTTTGCAGTTCAAGATGATAGATTGGTGTGCTTGGTTACTAAACCGAATGAGTGGCCAGCTTTCAAGTATCAAACAGGAGAACTGATGCGATGTTTGGCGGGGATTGAATGGTGGCGTGTAGTCAAAGAGGACAAGAGAACAAACAGAGGGGCTTTTCTCATTGCTCAAAGTGTCATCACTACGAATCAGATGCAATCTTATGTGGCTTCAGGCCAGCCTCGTTGGCTAAATGAGATCTTTGACAATGAGAAATTTTAGCCCTCTGTTTGACTTTGGAGTTAGTATGGATGTTGGGCGTTGGATGCTTAGGCTAGGCAGAAGGGGTTTTTTGGTATATGATGCTTTTAGCGGTTTAGTTGTTAGATGGTAGAAGTATGTTATGGATCTTTGGTTTGTAACAAATGGTACTTCATTCTCAGTTTAATGAAATTCATAGATGACAAAAAAAAAATCATAAAAGAAAAGAAACCGGGATCGAACAGTATGCATTGCACACCACCAACATGCCTGGGTCCTGCGTGATAATCTTAAGTCAGCGAGAATAGTGTAACACTAAAAAGTGCTCAGGTAGGCACAGTGAGTCAGCTTATACTTTATAGCAAAACAGCTTTTAAGCCCTACAATTTTGGATGGAGATAACTCATGAAGGATGCAGATAAAGGATACATAATTTAATTTAGGAATGGAAAAAAGTCCAAATTTTAGGTTTAAAAATTAAAAGCTATAATTAGCACAAAAAAAAATAAAAGCTATAAATTGTACAATAAACAAAGAAGTATAATAATATTCAACCATACATAAGTGGTCTACTAGTAGATACACTTTGAAAATCTAATTGATTCAGATTCGAAATAATCACAAACATGTAAAACTATGTTTTGACTATGTTTTGGGTCTCATTTAAATATAAATATTTCAGATAAATTAAAAAGAAATCCAATAATTTATTCTATTGAAGCAAAAAGATAATAGTGCTTAGTGCTGAAAATTTTAAATTGGTGAGACTCCTTTAGAACATTTTTATTTTTACTATTTATACACATTTCGAAGTACATGCATGAAGAAATGGCATTACACTATGATTTCACTCGTTTGCAGAAGAAAGAACAAAACATTTGCAGACAGGCGATTTATAAAATAAAATAAAAATAAAACAACACTCCACCACCATTTAAGGTAAAAAAAAAACTTCTGCCGAGAATGTTTGTTCCAGCATTAGAAAGTAGTACTTCGTCCACATGAACAACAATTCATACAATAGAGTTAGTGAACTATTCATTTGTATCCAACCCCATTTGGAATTTTTTTTAATAAAAAAAAACATCAAAGATGATTACATATTTTACTTTCGATAATGAACTTGTTTGGGTAAGGTTCAACCATAAAACCCAGCGCCTGAACCACCACCACCGTAGACATTTGGCGGGTCAAGAATAGGCTGCGAGGCAGACACTTCGTTATGGCTATTGCCTCCCCCACCTAAATGCAAATCCGACATATTAGGAAAACCTTCTTTAGGTTCAAGCCCTTGATCATACAAGAAGCCTTTAAAGATATGGCCACCGATTTTAACCACCGCCTGGTAAGCGTACTCGTCGTCCCCGTCCTCCATTGCCGTCACTCTCACACACTTGAACACAGCTGCGGCCTTAACCTGCCCCGGCCACGCTTTTCTTGACCCTCCTCCTTCTAGCATATATATTAAATGTAATTATTAATCATTATCAACAAATCAATATAATTCTAGTCCTCACCACCATAGGATCATTTTTATTTTCACCGTTACAACGGATTTAATGTAACGCTATAACATTAATCAATTTTCAATATTTGTAAAACCTAAACCAAATCAAAACCGATCGTTAAACTTGAAAATTCTTAGGGCATCATTATCCCTAAAACCTATTTGGTTTCTTAGGTTTTTTTTCTTTTGTCTTAAAAAAGAAAAGAAAAAAAATTAAAAACGAACCAATCGCAGATCGCTACGTGTCAGTGGAGCCCGCAAACAGTGCAAGAAACCCTTAAGAATCGGTTTTTAATTCATAGTTTTTGTAACTGATTCTTATACCGTTATGGAACCCATGTAATAAAAACTCTCTAAGAAACCCCAATAATAAACCCCAATAATCATGCTCCTAAAACTTGTTCTAAACCAAATATAATGTATCAAACCAATATATACTATGCCACTTTTTATTTTGATTACCACATTCATAAACCAAATGCTCCATGCAAATGAAATCATGTAGATATCACTATTCAGTAAAAAAAAAATATGTACACAAATTAATAAAACGTAAATAATACCTTGGCGGCTGGAGCTGGTATCCAAACTCTGAGGAGGAGTGTTAGAAGTCGAAGTATGAGAAGTGGCTTGTTGCTGAGACCCAGCGATCCTCGGCTTCTTGGTCCCAGAAGAGGTCGAAGGAGACGAGCCAGCCGTTGGATTCCCTGCGGGAATCACATGCCTCTCTCTCCTACGAGCCGCAGAGACCCACGTGCTCTTCACGTGAGTTGAACAATCAAAGCCACGGCTCTTGCAACACGTCCTACACCGCCTCTGCTTACACTCCTTCTTCGCCTGGTTACCACAGTCTTGACACGTGGCGGTCCCCCCTGAGCCCGACCCCGAGTTCTTAGAACTCGACGCAACTGTGACCTGATGATGAGAGTTCTTGAAGTGAAGATACTCCGTCTGGTTGTTGCTGCTGTCATTGTTATGCCACCTCCGGCTGTTCCCGAGGAAGTTAATGTCGGTGTCTTCCACGTTCTGCGTCGGAGCCGTCGTGAGAAGCGGAATAACTCCGACGCCGAGAGACGTCGCCGCTGCATTACTGTTAATCTGATCAGATCCAGTAACAAGTCCAACGTTCTGGTGGTGGTGGTGGTAAGCCGGAGCCACAAGGTAGACGTCTCTTAAACCGACCATGCTCATCTCCGCCGCCGAAGGGAGGCCGTAGCGGACGGTGGATCCGGGAGGCCATGATGGGGCTCCAGCGGAAGCTGAGCCTAAACCACCGTGAACAACGGCGGGACCAGCATTGAAACCAAGAGATAGATCCTCGGTGGCGCGGGAAGATGTCGTCGTCGTTGTCGCCGCCGCCGTCCAGTCCGTGAAGGCACCGGAGTCTGACGTCGGTAGGTTATGCCTCCTCGTAGTTGCCACAGCTGAATATAAATCAAAACCCTAATTCCACAAATTATAAAATAAATAAATAAAAAAGAAACTAATTAAATTATTTCTCTTCGCTAACACATCACACAACTTCAATGTATACAACCATAAATCTACAAAACAAAATCTCTGATGTGCAAAGAAGAAGATCTTGTAGTGTATAGTCACTTTTGACTTTATTTCTTTCTGCTCAAGGAGGGAAAAAGAACACTCTTTTGGTTCCTTTAACTGGTTTCCTTACTTTCTCTCTCTAGAAAACCAGTATGTTTCTTGTACTATTGGGCTTCTTCTTAAAAACAATACATATGATGTTATGTTTCCTTCTTCTAGATGGTTTCTTGTTGTTCCTGTCTCTCTCTAATAATAATCATCATGGACATCTTGCAGAAAGATAGAGAAAAAAATGATATTTTCTGTTTTTTTGTTAACTTTTTTATTTATTAATTCTGGTTATTTACTTATTCATGTTTTTAATAATAATAACTCAAAAATGGCACATGATACCATACCTTCTTCTCCTTTGCTTTTGGATTCTAGCTGAAGTTTTGATCTTTAAATATTTTCTACTATTATTCTTTACCAGATGTCAAAGTTCACCACTAGCGCTCGTGCGCGTGGCTCCACTTGCGTGTAACCTTTCCCGGTTTATGTTTCCTGAAGAAAATGGCTAACCGGTTAACTCTTTTTGGTCCATGGTTTGGTATACCACACGCAAGCATTTTTACCTTTTGCTGTAGAGCACTAGCTAGGGCTAGACAAAAAAAAACTGAATCATAATTCAATCTAGTTTACTTCAACAAAAGCATTTGGGGTTTCATAATTTAGCTATATTGTAGAATTTTCCCTATTTAAACTCATCCTTTTCTCTGTATCCAGACGTTGTATTGACTCCAAAAATCTTTATGATCTTCCAAGAAGAAAGAAAAGTAAGCCGTGGTTGTCTATGATCCATTCAAGTTAATTTTAGTTATGTGGTTAAATCACAAACGAAGTTGTATTTAGGGTATCTCACTTCTCTACATATCTCTGTTATCAACTATCTATATTGTATAGCTTACAAAAAAAACTATCTATATTATATATTTGTGTTACTTATCCCTCGGCTTCATGAATAAATTAAACACAATGCTTTAATTTTGCGTATCAGACAATCTATCTTGGAAAACATACAATATTTGTATCCAAGAGAGCATTTCAGTTTTTGCAATACTATATTTAGATGATCGAGTGTCTTGAAACCTATTATTGGTTGTCAAAAGTGGTAGTTCGAGTCAGAAAGTGGTCTAAACTCGCTTATACATGAACTCGAGTCATATTTGAACCAATATCTTTTGAGATGGTCCCGATCTAGAAACCTGGTGGACGAGTTGTTACAACTGTAGTTTTCGCCCTGGAGTTAGTCAGATCTTGGTACGAATCACCTTGGATAGCAAAAAATTATAGTTCTTGATTAGTTATAATATAGATGCATATTTATGCGATTAATAAGAAAGAGAGTCGCTTTTGTGTTTTTTCTTATATAAAAGTTTAGGTGGAGAATAATTGGTTTGAGTAATGCACGTGAAAGAACCCTTTCTATAAAATGTTCGTCTTTGATCAAAAAAATAAAAAAAAAAATAAAAAAAAAATAAAATGTTCGTCTATTCCTCACTCACTCTTTGCGGCCGTCGAATCATTACTTTTTCTTTTGATGTTTTTGAGCCCGTTTCACCTTTGTGCTAAAATTACATAACCCCACAGTTCTTTTAACACGGCCATAACCCATATTGTTTTATAAGTGTGCCTTTGTGCGAGTGTTTTTGGGCTGAAAAGTATGCTTTTGTGTTCGACTTGATCTTTTAGACTTTTTGCCTAATTGGAAGTTCGGAATGATACAAAATTGTATATAGTGGTGTTAACTTTCATTGAGTAGATTGTCTTTGTAAACATATCACTTGTTAGTGTCACTAAAAAGTATGTTTGATTTCATTAGGTTATCAAACTTGGTTAAAAGAAAAAGGTTATCAAACAAAACATACTTTAAGAAACTGCAAAAGAAAAGAATGAAAAAGATAGTAGATACAAATCACAAATTTGCAGTGCATGATCTTCTTTTAAAAAAACTGAAAATTAACATTTGAATATGAGTCTTTATTAGTCTATTTTGAACAGTTCACTTTATTTTTACGTAAACATAGAGATAATTCTATAATATAGGACTGTGTTCTACTCCAATTGTACTCTTTTTTTAGATCACTAATAGAAAACTATTCTCATTTTTATATTTTACTCTAAAATATAATATTCTCTTATAGAGTTGAATTTGCTTCAACGGTTTATTTTATAATAGATTTACATTATTATAATATGAAATATAGAGATGTTGTTTTTTTCTCAATATATAGAATGAAAAAGGGAATAATATCCCCTATATTTCATATATAATAGTGTAACTCTATTATATTAATCCTTGTAGCAAATTTAATTCTATAATAGAAATATTATATTTTAGAAATATAAAAATAAAATAGTATTTTATTGGAGTTGTCTTAATAAAAATAGAATATTTTTTTTTTTAAATATTTTATTTATAGAATAAGTCTAATGTTTTTGTAACACTTTTTGTGACACAAAAAATAAACCAATTTTTACTATTATCATGGTGTGAAATATAGAATTGGATTGAAACAATTTTATTGTAAAGTGAGAAATATAATCAAGTCGAAAATTTGACCCAAAAAATAATAACTACGTTAGAAATGTCTTTAGAGGAGATTCATAACATCACAGTAGAAAACCTAAAAACTTAAAATTTAAAGGATTTTACGGAAGTTAACAAAAGGTAATAGCATTAAAACCTAGAAAAATAAAAGCACGTTTCAGTAAGAGTTATGACAAAGTTAAAGAAAGGAGCAGAAGGCACGGGGCTCAAGAAAAGAAAATGTTTACAAGAACCAAAAGGAAAACCAATAATGGAGGGAAGTCGAGACAAAGACGAATGCTTCTTTGCCTAATCGGCGGAATGTGGCGTGTTGTCTCACTTCTCTCCGACATGCGTTGGGCTCACGCGCCTTGTTATCCCTTTATATACCTCTTTTATCTATTTTAAGGACTTGTACCTAAACTAGCTGGTTCATGATAAGGATGACTTAACGGTTTGGTGTTTGGTTTAGTGTCGAATGCTTTAGGAAGCGAGCAAACCATGGAAACAAGTTTTGAGTTTGGCGCATTGCTCATAGTTCTATGCTTCTGTTTTATGAAGTCAAGTATTAAATGTAAGATACTTACACTGTTAAGAGTTGCGAATAGTATATGTTATATCAGGCATCTACTGTTGTGTCTTAGTCATCTATACCAACCATATATATATATACACATACTTACTTACATATTACATATACAGAAGATGATATTTTGAAGCCTTTGCGTATGCATCAAGTGTAAATGGTCAAGTGCTTTTTAATGCCTTGTAGAGGTTGTTGAGCTCTGCAAGCTAGTTGGGCTTTGTTCGGGAAGGATTCGAAGAAGAGAACCCGACCGCTACATAAGAACTTGTAGTAAAATTGATGCTTTAGGATCAACTTATTACATTTGGAGACTAAGAACGATTTTCTTTTATTATGGATCGTGTTCAGGCATGTCAATCTAAACTGTACATCAAAAATCTCTTACTAGTCCGTTTGTGTCGGCTCAATCGCTACACTCGGATGCAATGAGTATTTGTATCACTGCTTCTAACAATTTTGGTTCTAAAAACGAAAGACATATGTATAATCATCTTCTTCTTCGTGTGTTTTGATAAAACCACACTATACTATAAACCATTGTATTAAATTATCACTCTATATTTGAAGAGAATGGGCCAAGAATCAGCCAAATGGTTGCATGCATTTAGAGTATCTTCATTCCATTCCATGTGTTTATTTTAAAATAAAGTTTAGAATAAAAAATACTCGAAATCTATTTCATTTTTTACTTCATTTTGAAATAAAAAAATACGATTACTCTATAAATAAATAATGACTTTTTTGTTTATTACTATTCTCTTTTCTTATAGAAAATTAAATTTGTTGAAATTCATTTCTCTATTTCCACTCTAAAATTAAATGCGGTTTGAGTAGCGTTTTTTTGAAAAGCACATGTCCCAAGTAGATAGTGGTTAAACGATTTAGGGTATGAAATGGTCATCTTACGTTCGAACAGCACGTATTGACCGCAAGGACAATCCAAAAGGCCCACCAATTAAAATTCAGGTATTTTGTAAGTATATTCAGTTGGTATTTGAAAGTAGATAAACAGAAACAAGTGCGAAGCCTTACGTATCGATCCTTCACATATGATATGAATTAGATAGTCGCCTACGTTGGCAATAAAATTTTATTCGCAATGGAGAATTTCAAAGTAGCCATTATCACTCGAAGAAATAACGAAGATACATGGCCGCCATTGAGTTAAAACTTATGAAACACTTTTCTAAACATCAAAATGTACAGTTTTATGCTTTATTACTTTTATGCTAAGGGCTCAAAACCCATATTAATGTTATTCATTCATATTCATGGGATACTAATTTTACTTTTTGTTTTTGTTTTAGGCAATCCAATACATAGAATCGGCCTAAGAGAGATAGATCTCGTTAGTTGTGTTCTTCAATTTATCTTCCCATGTTGACAAAAAAAAACCAAATTTTCTTCTCCTTTTTGAAGACTATCAAACCAAGCCATAACGTTTTCAAGGTTACAACGAATTGACGTGCGAGCAAAGTTGAATTGTCAAGGATGAACCATATATCATATCACCTTTTTCATATGTACATGATGGAGCACCTCGGAAATTAATATGTTACTTTGTGGAAATAATACAAAACACGGAAATTGTCAACTTGTTCATGCATGACTAACTTGTAACCAAACAATACCAACCACACATTTTAACTAACCACTTCTTTTTTTCTTCTTATCTTTTTTTTAAAGAACAACTAAAAACGAGAAAAAAAAAGAATAATTTTCGTAGCTTAATCAGTTCACTTCTTGTCGTCTCCTAGTAATCCCCAAGAACCTTAACGGAGAAACCCTAATCTCATGCTCCGAGATAGTCTGCAACTTCGGTGACCATATGTGTTCTCTCGTTCCCACAAGCTGATCATACTGCTTCTTTAGCTCGGGAGAATTACAGATCTCACCACAATCTATTACTGTCTCTTCTTTGCTAATCTTTCTGTTTTTACATATAAGACTCATGATAAAAACCGGAGAAACTTTTATCACAACCTTCCCGTTTAGTCCCTTAGAATACTCGAACGGTGGTGGACTCGACGGGGCCGTGAAGTTCAACGTTGGTGGATTAGTAGACCGAACATTTTCATCAAGATTATTAGAATTGAAGATGGAGAGACACGAAGTGGTTAAGATTCTATAGGCGAAACGTTCGATCGGTAAGATGAAGTAGGTTTGACCTGGGAGTAGATAGTCGTCCATGGCTAGAGATGGAACCGGACGACCGATGAAGAATGAATCTGCATGGCACACGATTTGGTCGGGAAACTCAAACATGATTTCTCCGGCGATGTGTTTCTTGGAGTCACATAGGGTTTTGGTGGTTCCTTGTTCGAAGAAAACTAGCGTTATAATTGCTTGGCGTCTACGGAGGATAGGGATACAAGAATTGATTAGAGATTTTACCATTTTTTGCTGAGAGAGAGATTTGTATTTAAGCTGAAAAGTTATGAATTGTCGTATTAAAGAGAAATGATTTATAGAGGGGTTAGTCTTTATGGTCTTTGTGTTTTGTTTGTATTTAAAAAGGTAACCCACTTGAAGGAGAGTTGACTTTCGAAGTGGTCAAACACTCCAAGATTTGGTTATGCATATGGCTTAATCATGTCGGTTCTTTGGTCAATCCTCTCGGCTTTGAATCTTTGATCCTCCTCTCTCTCTTCGTTTAAGGTTATATTATAACCTAATAGATGCATTTTTGCTTAGTTTTAATTAGAAAATATCACATAAGTGTTGATTAGAAATAGTAATCTCGTTTGACAAAAAAAGAGAAATAGTAATCTCATTTTAATATATCTTTAGATTCATATATCTTACACTATTTCATTACAACACGTTGATCTCATGACTTTATTTCATGACGACTGTACCGAAGGGAAGAATTAGTATAATGGTCTAGATACATAGTCCCTTATATATGTTATCAATTTATTTGTTCATGTTGTCCTTACTCATTAAACATATTCAAATTATTGTTTAATGTATCTATTATTTTTTAAATTCCGTGATTCACATATCACCTTCGTATTTTCACTTTATAGTAAACAAGTTGACGAGCCAGAGTTAACTTTTGATTCATAAGGGTTGATATTATTGAAACTTCATATATATATATATATATTATATTTTCATATCAAACCCCCAAAAAATATTTTCAAGCCAGAGAGCCCATATTTGATTAAATGGAGAAAGAGGTGAGAGAGGCTTGAGCTTGTTTTTATTAATTTATAATTTTTATAAATCAAGTAATAATCTATATATATATATATCTGATTATAAACATATGTATCAAAATTTTACAAAAAAAAAAATAAGTGTCGAAATCTATAAATGGGCCAATTTTAAAAAATTAGAAAACGGGCCTCCAAAATTTTCCAACAGAAAGGAGGCTGTAGGCTAACGTGTCCAAATAACTATAGTTTAATGACACGGGCCTTATTCAAACGCACGCCGATTTTGTTTTAGAAGAAATACACATAAAAAAACGCTGGTTGGTGCTGCTTTTTGTACGAGAAATTCTGAATATATTTTGTTCACTTTTCTTTAAATATTTGTTGAATTTCTCTAGTTCATATTTGAAAAAGTCTTCTTATAAAATATTCACCACACTTCAATTGTATTTAGGTCGTTATCTAAAGACACACAAATTTGAACTAACATGTTATATAATGACTTAACACAAATTCTTACAAAAAATTTCAAAATTATTTATAATAATCTAAATATAATCCAAATCTAAATATAATCTAATGTTAAATAGCACTATTATTTAGTCTTCTTACTAAATTTTCAAAATTATTTTATAATAATCTAATGTTAAATAGTAGTATTAGTTAGTCTTCTTACTACATTTTCAAAATTATTTTATAATAATCTAATGTTAAATAGTACCACTATTAGTTAGTTAGTCTTCTTCTTAACACAAGTTAAATGATTGACTAGACCTCAAGCAAATTAAAAAAAAAAGAAAAAAAAAGAAGCAAAAAGAAGAGTGATTTGTTTCTCTCCTTTTGCTTTCTCTCCATCCCTTAGGCGAGAAAAGTGTTCTCGTAAAGAAGAAGATCATCGTCTTCTCTAGATTCTCTACCTCCCAACACTTCCTCACCTCCGCAGCAGCTACAAAAACTCTGATCTCTCTTGCTTCAACGCCGTCCTCTTCATCTACTATAACTCGAGCTGAACACAGGTTACTTCTCCGTTTAATCAGAGGGAATCAATCAAACGTTTTCGTTAGCTGCTTCCGAGATCAACGATCATCGATATGAATGTGTAGATTAGGTTTTTAGAAAATTTGAGTAAAAGTGGCTGAGATTCTCTCTGTGTATGTCGAGAAACGGAAGGATGGCGTCGGATCTTAGCAGAGCTGTTCCCGTTGAGAGAGATATCGAGCAGGTTGTTGCGTTCGTTATCTTCCTTCCTCCATTTTTTTTTTTCGATTCTTTCTATTATTATTCCCAACTCTTAGGTTTAGCGATGAGTGTTTGTTGCTTCGATTGCATATAGTCAAGGTTAGATATATATATATATATGAGAATCAATTGCATACTTAAGCTTTAATACTCGACTCGTAAACGTATTCTAGATTGATTTAAGCTTTTTGGTTTCCTTGACTATTGCCGCTTGATGATGACATAGCCTGAGTATATCATTGCTGAATATGTTATGGCGTTTTTTTTAATTGTTTTAAAAGTTTTATTGTTATGATTTGTATTTCAGTGTTGCAAGGCTTGTTTATATTATCTATCCACTATTGTTTCTGATATTAATAATTGCTGAGCTGTGAAGTCAATGGATTCATCTATTTTGCTTATGGATTGCTGTTTGACTGACTTAGCTTGTTGCTTATCTCCTTCTTCCATATGTCGTTTTATGCTATAATTATTCCTAGGTTAGAGATAGAGATAGAGATAGAGATAGTGTTGCATAGGTCGAACCTTCCTTAGAGACCTATCTTCGATTGCATTCACAAGCGAACTTTAGCTTAATCCTCGACTCATAATTCTACTTAACGCAGCTTGATTTAAGCCTATTGCTTCTCGTTTGTGGTATTAAAACATCTCTGGTAGACTATTACCGCTTGATAAGGCATAGACTGATATTTCAATTTTGCTAGCACTTTACGTATCATAAAGTTTGTTTCTCGGATAGTAATCATCTTGGAGTTTTGTTAGATGCGTTAATCTTGGAGATGTTATTGCCATGGATCGTATTTTAGTGTGCGTTTGCTTGCTTATATCATGTGTCCACTATTTATTTGCACTATAATTGCTGAGATGAAGTTTCTATTGCAAGAGATTCACCTATTTGGCTTATGGATTGCTGTTTGACTGACTCAGGCAATCATTGCCCTGAAGAAGGGAGCTTACTTGCTAAAGTATGGAAGAAGAGGGAAGCCTAAGTTCTGCCCTTTTCGTCTTTCAAATGTAAGTAATTGTTGGTTCGATTTCCGTAAATATCTTGCCAGCAGTGCTCTACGGTGATATTTTTTATATTTTTTTGTTATTTATTTTGTAACTTTCTTTACATTGTTTGGTAATTAAGAGATAGCTGCCTGTAACTTTCAGGATGAAACTGTTTTGATATGGTTCTCCGGAAAGGAGGAGAAACATTTGAAGCTAAGTCATGTTTCTAGAATCATATCTGGACAACGCACTGTAAGCTGAGAGCCATGTTTCGTTTTTGCTTTCTTAATGATCGATCTTTTGTGCAACTTTTCATGTGACAGATTCCTTAGTCTGAGGGTGCATATTTGTGCCTTAAATATCTTACTGTTATGTTATTCTGATATCTACATTTGTTACTCTCTTGTAGCCTATTTTTCAAAGGTATCCTCGCCCCGAGAAGGAGTATCAGTCTTTTTCACTAATATATAGCGAGAGGTCTTTGGATTTGGTGAGATTTTCTTAAACCATATTCGCTTCCTCTATAAAATAATCATACTGTTATTCGAAATGTCACTGTGGTTATTTTTTGGCTAGCTAATCTGGTGGTAGGGTTTTATTTGGTAGATATGCAAGGATAAAGATGAGGCTGAAGTGTGGTTTAGTGGTCTTAAAGCCTTGATTTCGCATAGCCATCAAAGAAATAGGAGGAATGAATCAAGAAGTGACGGGACACCATCTGAAGCTAACAGTCCAAGGACATATACCCGGAGAAACTCTCCTTTGCACTCTCCATTTAGCAGCAATGACAGTTTGCAGAAGGTTCTAGAAAAAGTTTTCCGTGTACACTTTCGTGCATTCTAACACTAAAGACGTTTCATTTATCTTTCAGGATGGTTCTGATCACCTTCGCATCCATAGTCCATTTGAGAGCCCGCCTAAGCTTGACAAGGCATTATCGGACATGGCATTATATGCAGTTCCTCCAAAAGGATTTTATCCCTCAGATTCTGGTACTATTTCAGTTCATTCTGGAGGCTCAGATAGCATGCATGGAGGACATACGAGGGGTATGGGAATGGATGCTTTTAGAGTTAGTATGTCAAGTGCTGTCAGTTCCTCGAGCCATGGCTCTGGTCATGATGATGGAGATGCATTGGGAGATGTTTTCATCTGGGGAGAAGGCATAGGAGAAGGTGTTTTGGGTGGTGGAAACCGTAGAGTTGGAAGTTCGTTTGACATAAAAATGGATTCCTTATTGCCAAAAGCTTTAGAATCTACAATAGTACTCGACGTCCAAAATATTGCTTGTGGGGGACAACATGCTGTCCTTGTGACAAAACAAGGAGAAAGTTTTTCTTGGGGAGAGGAATCTGAAGGCAGGCTTGGCCATGGTGTTGACTCCAATATTCAAAATCCCAAGCTAATCGATGCACTTAACACCACAAATATTGAGCTTGTAGCTTGTGGAGAATTCCATAGTTGTGCAGTTACTCTGTCGGGGGATTTGTATACCTGGGGCAAAGGTGATTTTGGTGTTCTTGGACATGGAAATGAAGTCAGTCACTGGGTCCCTAAAAGGGTTAACTTTCTGTTGGAAGGGATACATGTATCATCCATCGCTTGTGGACCTTACCATACAGCAGTTGTGACCTCTGCTGGGCAGTTGTTTACTTTTGGTGATGGGACCTTTGGTGTTTTGGGCCACGGGGACAGGAAAAGTGTTTTCACACCTCGGGAGGTTGACTCTTTGAAAGGTCTTCGCACTGTCCGGGCAGCCTGTGGTGTATGGCACACAGCAGCAGTTGTGGAAGTCATGGTTGGGAGCTCGAGCTCGAGTAATTGCTCTTCTGGAAAGCTCTTTACATGGGGTGATGGTGATAAAGGTCGTCTTGGTCATGGTAATAAAGAACCAAAACTTGTACCTACCTGTGTTGCTGCTCTTGTTGAACCCAATTTTTGTCAAGTGGCATGTGGCCACAGTTTAACGGTTGCACTGACAACATCAGGCGAGGTCTATACTATGGGAAGTCCTGTCTATGGTCAGCTGGGAAACTCACATGCAGATGGTAAAGTTCCAAACCGTGTTGAAGGTAAACTTCACAAGAGTTTTGTCGAAGAGATTGCCTGCGGTGCTTACCATGTTGCAGTCTTAACTGCGAAGACAGAGGTTTACACCTGGGGAAAGGGATCAAATGGTAGACTTGGTCATGGCGATGTAGATGATAGACATTCGCCGACATTGGTAGAGTCGCTTAAGGATAAACAGGTGAAAAGTATTGCCTGTGGCACTAACTTCACAGCAGCTGTCTGCATTCACAGATGGGCGTCGGGGATGGATCAGTCCATGTGTTCAGGTTGCCGTCAGCCCTTCAATTTTAAGAGAAAGAGGCACAACTGCTATAATTGCGGACTAGTGTTTTGCCACTCGTGCACAAACAAAAAGTCGCTGAAGGCTTGTATGGCACCGAACCCGAACAAACCATATCGAGTGTGTGACAAGTGCTTTAACAAATTGAAAAAGACCATGGAAACTGATCCATCGTCTCATTCTTCTCTGAGTAGAAGAGGAAGCATTAACCACGGATCAGATCCCCTATACAAAGACGACAAGTTGGATTCTAGATCCGATGGACAGTTAGCTAGATTTTCACCGATGGACTCCATGAAACAAGTGGACAATCGATATAAGAAGAACAAGAAATACGAATTCAACAGTAGCCGTGTCTCACCTATACCAAGTAGAAGCTCTCAACGGGGTGCGCTTAGCATAGCCAAGACTTTCAATCCAGTATTTGGGGCATCAAAGAAGTTCTTCTCAGCTTCTGTTCCTGGTTCTCGAATTGTGTCTCGGGCAACTTCTCCAGTATCAAGACGTACCAGTCCACCTCGTTCAACAACACCAACTCCAACTCTTTCAGGACTAACCACACCAAGAATTGTGGTGGATGATACTAAGAGAACCAATGATAATCTAAGTCAAGAGGTTGTTAAGCTAAGATCTCAAGTAAGCTTCCTTCGACCATCTTCTGTTTCTCTTACATTATTCTTCACATAGTTGGTGAGATTATGCTGTTACGTTTCTGTCCTGTGTTTCCTGCAATTACGTTCTGGCTTTAATATGTTGATCAGATCATATGCTATTTGAAGCGTACTTGGCTGCCACCAATTTTAATTACTGCCTCAGTTTCTCTTTATGATTACTTCTTTGCTAACAAGTAGATGAACAGGTTGAAAGTCTTACAAGGAAGGCCCAGTTCCAAGAAGTTGAGCTGGAAAGAACAGCCAAGCAGCTCAAAGAAGCGTTGGCAATCGCTAGCGAAGAAACGACAAGATGCAAAGCAGCAAAAGAAGTGATCAAATCACTTACCGCTCAGGTAATTTCATTTCCATTAAACAAAGACATAGTTTATGCAAATACTGGTGATTTCTTATGACTGATTATAAACATCAACGAAACTACGCAGCTGAAAGACATGGCTGAAAGATTACCAGTTGGATCAACTCGAGCTGTGAAGTCACCTCCGTCTCTTTATTCATTTGGTTCCAGCCCTGGTCGCATTGACCCTTTTAATATCTTAAACCGACCAAACAGTCAAGAATCCGAGCCAAATGGAGTAAATACCCCAATGTTTTCTAACGGGACCATTACACCTGTATTTGGGAATGGTGAAGCAACGAATGAAACACAGAACGAGAAGGAATGGGTTGAACAAGATGAGCCTGGAGTCTATATCACTCTTACAGCCTTAGCAGGAGGTGCTAGAGACCTCAAACGTGTCCGTTTCAGGTACATAATCATATCTTATTTACGCCTAAAAGGAAACAATCGGTTATTTTGCTTGACCGTTTTGTTTTATACAACAGCCGAAAAAAGTTTAGTGAGAAACAAGCGGAACAGTGGTGGGCAGATAACAGAGGAAGAGTCTACGAACAATACAATGTACGAATGGCTGACCCATCCAGTGAGGAAATGCCTCATTGAAGCTCTTTAACCACGTCTCTTATCATTTTTCCACGCCCGAATGAGGTGAGTGCAGGAAACTCGGGATATAACAACAGATTTAGAACATATATATATAGACAAAATTAGATGTGTTAAAAGTGTTTACGTGCCTAAGTCATTGTAGCTTGGGGGATTTCAGATTTGAGTGGTTTTTGTTGTGAGAAGGTTGTATATTCTTTGTGAAGAAAAGTATTTGTACGACTGATTTGATTATAAGGATCAACGTAGCAAAGCAGTGACTGGTTCAAGTGTTTGATGCAATCACACATAAAATAAAGGATCCAGATTGAAAAGATGACATAATAAGAGGATGATTTTAATGGTATATACATGTGATATCTCTGGTAGTAGAGGATTGCTTCTTCAGAACAGTTTGATATAACTATCAGCTCAAGCTTGGCCACAACGAGTCGAGTCATGTTGCAAGCTTTGCAAGGATAATGTATAAATATAGAGTGCATCCTCAAATTCAAACCTGACAAGAGTAGCATTTTTTCTTCTAGTTTCTGCTCAGGTAATAATAATAATAAAGTTTCTGTTTGATACTTCCCCAAATCAGTAAATATTGTTCAGCTATTCATAGTAAAACTGGAATATACAAAAGATCATTTGTTTTGACAATTCTCCCAAAGCCCTCAAAGAAACCAAACAAACTCACTGAAGATCAGGGGACACACGCGCATATGTACAGATGTTATTTCCTTCTCAGCTGCGTAATAAGGCTGTGGCAATACCAGCAACAACCCCAACAGCAGTAACAGCAATTCCAACGCCAATAACACCGTCTGTTTGCAAAATTCAGAATATGACTAAGAGAAAGTAAATGGATGAGGAAACATAAAATGACACATGTACCATCATGTGGCTGTTTGTTACCTTTCACAATACGGTCCTCTATAGCCGTTTTTAGCGTTTGAGCCTGATTCCACTCTGGTTCGACCTTACACCAGAGAAAGAAAAAAAAAGCATTGATGAATACATCAAACCAACAATAAAAATATTCTTGACTATCCATGGATAAGAAGAGATGATCAAACCTCCAAACACCGTTCTACACATTCCCGGCTTCTTGAAAAGTCACCGCTTCGATAGTAACCAAGAGCAAGTAGATATAGCTTCTCCCTTAAATTAATAGGACTTGTATCACTAACCACGGAAGCTGCGAATATACCAGTAAACATGGATCAAATAAATCATCCACCATGGGAAGAAGAACCATTCTAAAATGTAAAATTGTAAAATATTAAGACCTTCAAGCATTGATATCCCACGCTGTATATCCGCATGTATCTTTGAATGAACAAGAGCCCATGAAAGACGCATGATGCATTCCTTCTTAAGCCCTTCGTCTTGCCCTTTCTGAGCCTCTGCAAGCTCTTTCTCACATCCCTGAGAATGAGTAACGCATCAAGACACATGCAAGAGAATCCAAAACCCCAAGAAGATGAAAAAAATCGTGATCTGGAGGTTCTTTGATTTGAGGAACAACATAAGGCGAGAATTATAATAAAAGATACCGAGATGATGTCGGTGTCGCACAAGGGGAACTCGTCAGCGGAGGCAGAGGCAGCGCCGGAGAAGAAACCAGAGACGGAATCGAAAACTTTGCCTATCGTCGCGTCCATTTCCCTTGTCGTCTCGCAGCTGCACGAGTTTTTGAGTTTTCTCAAGAAATCTTTCTTCGGCGAATTACAAGACTTGACCAGGAATAAAAATAAGTTGTCTTAAATATGATGATCTGTACTAATTAAGGGTTGTGGTTTTTTCTTTTCTTTAACTTAATTTTGCCAGATCATATTATCAAACTTTCAATTTACTAAACAGGTTAAAATCTACTTTTACCTTTCATTTTTTATATATTTTTTAGTAACACAAATATTGATGAATTGTTTTATACAATATTATAAACACAGTTTTTCAAACAATGGTTCTTTTTTTTTTTGTGTCGACAACCAATGATTTCTTTATGTTCATAAAAAAATGTTTCTGATTATTTTACTGATAACATTTTATAAAAAAAAATATTTAACTCTTTTGCTTGAATTATAATGAAAATCTAATATATTTTTTTTTGTTAATATATAATTAAAAAATAAGAATATACATAGTTATTGTATATACATACATGTCAGACCATTATTTAATATATCCCAAAAATCTATTAATGTAAAACTAACATCAGTAAAATAAAAATCTAACTAATTTGTTTTCAACAAAACAATTAGTTATATACTAAATTATATTTATATACATAGCAATTGGTTAATCATGGATTTACTAAAGAACACATTTGTATATTTTTGAGAATTTGCACTCGGTATACACCGATAAGTTCATAATTTGTATTTCAAATCATGTGTATTTCATCTTTTATGGTTATGTTTTTTTATAAGTAAGAAATAAACATATCGCACCTTGACCAGAAAAAGTGGGGAAAGAAGTTAAAAAGAAAAGGAATGTGCGAGGTAGGGGGGAGAGAGATGGCTTCCTCTTCCTAACATTGACCAAACCCTTCTTTTTGTTTCTTTCTTTCTTTCCTTAAAGAGAAAGAGAGATAATTCGTGAAAAAGCAGTTACTCTGTAGAGAATTCTCTTTCTACTTTCCTTCCTTCTTCCCCCTACAGAAGAAGAAGAGAATCTCTCTCTCCCTCCTCCTGCACGTTGTTAGCGTTTCTACAAAAAAAAACAAAAAACAATAAAAACTCTCAACTAATGCGCTTCCTTTACTCCATTAGTTAATTAAATTCGTTCCGTTTTCGTTAAGCGAAAGCAAAATCTCACATCAAAAATGGAGCGAATGGTTAAAGTCGTTACAAATGAGATCGACGGCGTCGGGTTATGCTCCGGAACGGTCCGATCTCACGACTCTTCTCGAAACCTCGAGATCGTCTACGAGAATGGACTCACGGATATTTCGAAATCGGTGAAGCCTCGAGTTAGTAGGAGGAAGACAAGGAAACGATCTCGGAATTGTGAGGTAAACGTCATGAGAAACGTCGATTTGAACGATGGAGTTCCGGAGGAGGAAGCTAGGGATAGTATGGATTTGAATAGGGATGGATTTGATTTGAGTACTGGATTGGATTGGAATTTGAATGAAGGTTTAGGTTTGTTTAATGTGAGCATAGATTACGAGGAGAGTTCTGGTTTCAAAAGGAGAGGGTTTATTGATTTGAATATGGATGCGAGCTGTGATTTGGAGGGTTTAGGGTTTGATTTGAATTTGGAGGCTGACGTGGAGAATGGAGATGAGATAGCTCAAGGAATTAACATTCAGGATGATAATCTTGAGAGTGGAGAATGTAAAGAAGTTCATGTTGCTCAAGTATCATACCTTCAGCTTTTGGAGGAGATAGGGAAGCACAATGGTGTTTATCTCAATACTCCTGATTCTAATGGAGCTGAGGGGGAGATTGATGATAAGACTGTTGTTGAGTCTCTCTCTGATAGGGAAGTTTCGGATGAATATACAAGTGGGAGGAGGAAAAGGAGAAAATTCACGAGGCAACCTCGGTTGAGAGGGAGTGCTCGTAGAGCGTTAGCTCGATTTACTACCAGTAGCAGTATTACAGCTTGCTTAGGTGATGAAGTAGTATCTCCTTCTCCGTCAGTTAGTAGTCTGACAGACGAGAAAGTTTGGATTGTTGATGGAAATGCTGAGAATGTTTCTGTGCTTCCGGGAAAGCCACAGTTACCTCCATCCTCGCATGTTTTGAGTTTAGATGGTCTTCCCATTCTTAATGTCTTTTCTGCTTATTCTTGCTTGAGGTCCTTCAGTAGTTTGTTGTTTTTGAGCCCCTTTGAGTTGACGGATTTTGTGGAAGCGCTGAGGTGCATGTCTCCTAGTCTGTTATTTGATAGCATCCATGTTTCTGTTTTGCAAGTATTAAGAAAACATTTGGAGCACCTCGTTGGGGAAGGTGACCAGGCTGCAATTGCTTGCCTGAGGTATGAATATTTTAGTTTTATTGCTGTTATGTGGACATGAAGTTTTTCCTGTTTTGGTTCTCATGCTTTGCTGGTCGTGTGGTACATGCAGGAGTCTTGACTGGGATATGTTGGATGTGGTTAATTATCCCCTTTTTCTAGTCGAATACTTACTGTTTTGTGGTTCTAAGGACAATCCTGGAGTGGATCTAACTCGGTTTAACTTTTTTAGAAATGAGTACTTCAGACAGCCAGTGGATCTGAAAATTGAGATACTTTCCCGTCTGTGTGATGATATTACAGATACTGAAGTCGTGAGATCAGAGCTTAATAAAAGATCTGCTGCAGCTGAGTCTGAACTGGAAACTGATAGGAAGAGAAACACAAAAGTACGACGTAGAAAGCGCAATATGATGGAGCTGGCAGATGATTCTTCTTTAAATGATGAGGCCGTTGATGGCTCGGTTGACAGGAACAGTGACGACTGTTGTCTTTGCAAAATGGATGGGAATTTACTTTGCTGTGATGGTTGTCCAGGTGCCTATCATTCTAAGTGTGTCGGTGTTGCCAGTCACCTTTTGCTTGAGGACGAATGGTATTGCCCTGAATGTTCATTTGACCAGCGTGTACCAGGATTGAAGCCTGAAAAGCAAATTCGAGGAGCAGAGTTTCTAGAGATTGATCCCCATGGCCGAAAGTACTACAGCAGTTGTGGCTATTTATTGGTGTAAGTTTCTTTCTTTGATTCTCTTGTCTTGGCTAATGCATGATCTCAGTGGAATCAATTTTGTGAATTCAGCAATCAGCACTATAATTTTTTCTTAGTAGAGAAATATATACTTTTAATGAGTATTAGCAACTTTTGTCGTCTCATCTCGGTGATACAACTTTGTGATGATTTCTGGAGGATTAACTTAAAACTATGCAGTATAATAAAATTATAAAACTGCAAAACTATGTATCCTCCCTGTAGTTTCCAGTAAGTTGAATAGCATGTTTGGATATGTGAATGGCCTTTTTTGCTTGGGATTTAGATGCAATTGTTGACCCTTAGTTTTAGATTGCATTTTTACGCTCAATGCATGCAGATAAGGAATGTTTCTTATCATCTACTTCTAAGAACTTCTTTCATATGCTGATTGTAGGAGCTACTACATCTCTTGATAGACTGTCTGATGTTGTCCACTATGAATTTGCAGGATAGATACCAACGGCACAGGCTCAGTGAACTACTATCATGTGAATGATGTGATCCTTGTACTGGAGCAGCTCAAGTCATGCGGTAGTTTTTATATTGGAGTAATAGGTGCAATTAAAAAGCACTGGGATTTCCCTACTGGCCTGAAAAGGACAATCAGTAGTGTGAATTCACATATATCCGTATGCTTGGATAAGCCAGCCAAAGGAATGATTTTTTCTATTGATGGGTTTAAGGCTCCTTTACCGGCTCCAGAAAAACAGGCAACGTCTGACGTTAAGGAAAAGCCTGAAGAAGGATCCAGTAATGGAGGTTCACATAATCATTGTCATAGGACTCGTCGGAAGATATCAGGTTCACCTACTGGACTAGATACTCTTAATATGAGTTCTGAAGGATCTGCTGAAACTGTACAAAATGGATCGGATGTCCAGAGTCTTCATGAGCCAAATTCGAATATCTATTCGGCTTCCCATGATTTGGCTAGTATGAACACAAGGAAAGGAAGTAGACCGAATGTGCAGAGCGAATCGGGCTACAGAAACCAGTACATATTTGCTCAGATGACTAAATCAATTTATGAAGAGATGACGCGTAAGTCACCTATCCGTACCATTGATATGAGATCTGATGAAGAGATAGCTTCTACCCAGGTGAAGACTATATTGATGAAAACGACCAAATTTCAATGGCGAAACATCCAAGGCCTCTACCTAGATGCGTGGAAAGAAAAATGTGGATGGTGTTTTTCTTGCAAATTTGAGGATGCCGGGAGCAAGACAAATTGTTTATTTAACATGAGTCTCGGGGCTTTGCGAGGTCCTTCGGAAAGTGAGATTGCTAACAGTCAATCCATTAGTAAGAAAAGTCATCTTATGACTATCATATGCCAGATATTATCCATGGAAAGTCGATTGCAAGGTCTTTTGGTTGGTCCATGGTTGAATCCACAGCATTCCAGAATTTGGCGTGAACACATTCTGAACGCATCAAATATATCAAGCTTGAGACATTTATTAGTTGAAGTAAGTTTTTTTCAAGTTTTTTCCTCCTAAAAGAATCATATTGCAATAATATTGTTTCCAAGTTAAATCATTGTATTGGCAAGAGATCAAAACTCTTCATTATTGGCTGCTGCTATGAAGAATTTTAGTTTTTGTTTGTTTTCTACTTGAAAAGCTTGCAGTAATCAATTTCTACTCACTTTTTAGTGTGACTAGGGAAGTTGAATGTTTTGCTACTTCTCCATTTGATCAAGACTTGACTATCTTCAAAGTGTATAAGTAGGATTTCTTGAGCGCTTGATTTTTATGTAGTGTAATAGTAATTAATCTAGGTGTACATCAACTTTTTATGTTTCCTAATGAAGATTTTGTGAATACCTTTGCAGTTACAGGCGAATTTGCATCATCGTGTTCTTTCACTTGAGTGGCTAAACCATGTCGATTCTGCCATAGAAATGGGCTCATCTAGATATATTCTCATTGTGTCGACACGATCATCCTCAAAGAGTGCTATTGGTAAAAGACGGGGGACATTGTTGGAGTCTGGGGTTAACCCTACTGCAAAGAAAAATAGTGGATTGACCATGTGTTGGTGGAGAGGCGGCCGACTTTCACGGAAATTATTCAACTGGAAGGCTTTGCCTTGCTCTTTGGTCTCGAAGGTTGCTCGACAAGGTTTACATTTTCTCTTTTGTTCTTGCTTTCGACTTTGTTCTTCTACTTTCTTTAACTATCCTTCGTTCCTCTCACTTCCATTCAGTTGTTTCATTTTTCATGCACTCTATACTATGCAGGTGGAAGTAGAAAAATTCCAGGTATACTGTATCCTGAGAATTCAGAGCCTGCTAAGAGAAGCCGACGTGTTGCTTGGGAAGCAGCTGTTGAGTCATCTACGACTTCAGAGCAGCTCGGTTTTCAGGTAATATAAAATTTGGTCTAACTGAATGTTATTCTTGTTTCGCTGGTACTGATAAAAAATAATGTTGGAGTTACAAAAGATACACAAATGTTATTCTGTTTCCATTTGGCCTACACACGAATGTATATGGTGTGAGAGCCTTTAAGTTCTTTTCTACTCTAATTGTCAAATTGCGATGGAATATATTTATTTTTTGAGTTTGTTTTATTGACGTTTGCAGTTATACACACTGATTATTTGTCTTGTACCAGTCTCCTTAAAGTTGTCTACTTGTAGGATGCTTTTTGGCGTTGAAAGATTTTTAGCTAACCATTTAGTGATTTGCAGGTGAGAACATTCCACTCGTACATAAATTGGGATGATATTGAAAACAGTCACATTCTTCCTGCATCGGACAAAGAATCTAAAAAATCTGCCAGACTGTTCAAAAAAGTGATTGTCCGTAGGAAGTGCATAGAGGGAGATACTGTGAAATATCTCCTTGACTTTGGTAAAAGGAGAAATGTTCCGGATGTTGTGTTGAAAAATGGTCGCATGATTGAAGAATCCTCGAGTGAAAGAAAAAAGTTCTGGGTGAATGAATCGTATGTGCCTTTACATCTTCTGAAAGGATTTGAAGAGAAAAAGGCTGTACGAAAAACTACGAAGTCAGGAAGCTCTTTCAGACACTCTAAGATAGAAAAAGTACGGACAAAGTCATCAGAGGGAAAAGGTTTCTCATACCTATTTGAAAGGGCAGAAAGATCGGAGTCTTCTTTGTGTGAACAACGTAAGAAAGATGTGCCTCCGAGGTATGTACTTATCATCACCCCTTATGCCTTCAGAAGTCATTGCCTTTCATTAGCATAGCAAGCTTATCTTGACTAAACTTAAAAAGGATTGTCACTTGTCTTAATCGCATTGCATTTGACCTCGAAACATATCTTTTTAGAATCTTTTGTTTGTTTGTCGAGTATTGATCTTTCTCAATGGATCGTTTATGTTTTCTTTAATGACAGGGATGCTGCGTGCTGCCATATCTGCAAACGTGAGTCACTTTTGCTGTTTGTTCTGTTAAAGTGTTTTTTTTTATTGAAGAAGTTATGCTTCTGTAGTTAATCTAATAAGAACCTAGTCGACACATAACACAAACAGAGCTCCATAGAATTTTCTTGAATTGAAAGGATTAATTATATTGACCTGCGGTAGAGCCAGTAAAGGTAATTCAGTTCACTAACCAATGTGACCCCCTTAAGACAATGAATGTTTACTCCAAAAGGTAACTTGAGAGTGACGGTGCCCATAGAATTGTAAGTAGTAGTAAGTCTAGGTCCTAACCAAGAGGTGACTCCTAACATGCTCTTTCATAGAATATATATATATATATCTAGTCAGAGCTTTTTATTGATATTAGCTATGATAAAAATTTCAGGATTATTTCACAAAAAGCATATCAGGAGAGCGGACAAGGAAGGCATGTACATATGTCTTCCATGCAGGAGTGAGGTGCAAGCAAAACAACAGCCCAGCGGACGGAAAAGAGGACGGCCCCCAGGTAGTTTCCGTCAAAAAGTTCGAGTCAAGACACAAACGTATAAAAAGGTCATACCTGCTCGCAAATCAACTCGGCTAAAGAAAACCAAAACGTCTCTGGGAGAGAGAATACCCGTTAGGTTAAAGAATCATAAAAAGGTTGTTGCAAGCAAGCCATTGCGACGTTCAGGCAGGACACCAAAGCATGTTACTCGGCTACAGGATGAAAGTACAGTTCCTGGAGGGAGTAAGAAACGGAAACTGGAAACCAAAAAAGGCAGAGGCAGGCCTAAGAGAGTAAAACAAGAGATTTCCATAAGAAAGAAGAGGACAAAAAGAGCCCTAAGCTATTGGTTGAATGGACTCCGCTTAACCAGAAAACCTGGTGATGAACGGGTAGATAAGTTCCGGAGAGACAGATATTTAAAACCTATGGAGAAGTCGGATTCTGATCATGATCAACCTAAGTGTCACTTATGCGGCTCGAATGACTCTGAATCTGGATCAACCATTATCTCTTGCGAAACTTGTAAAGGTAATCCAAAACTTCTTTTGATTCACCATGATTTAAATTGCAGGAGTTGGTTTCCATTTGTTTCTCAGCTTTTTTCTCTCTCTCTATACTTTGCTGTTATGTTTGTAGAATGGTACCATGGAGATGCATGCGGGATTAACGAGAAGAATTCAAGTATGGTGATTGGATTTCGGTGCCATCTCTGTCGAGAAAAGTTGCCTCCCACCTGTCCACATGAGATCTCTCCTGAGCTGTGAATTTGTGAATGGCTAATAGAATATTCTTAGGCTGTGGATCAAGTTGGAAGAATCAGATAGGACTTAGATGTATCTGGGAGATTGTACAATTATGGGAGAAGAGTATTGAGTAGAGAATCAAAGAAAAGCAGAGAAAGTAGAGGAAACTGTTTGGTGGGTAGAGTATGAAGTTAGTTAACTTGGATGAGTAGGTACTAAAGTGAGAATTAGAGTGAACAAAGAACTGGGACTCAAGAACCAGAGTTGATTTATAACATAGTGATTTCATTTTATTTTTCAGATTGGAGGGAGTCGGTAAACAAGTGAATGTATGTAAAAGAAATATGTTGTTGAATCCATTTTCTATCAAAAATCCATTGGTAGTGATGTGTTAACTTCCTAATAGTAATTTTTCACCCTTCTATCATTGAGTCAATTTTGCACCAATGGTCAGCAGCATGTTGGGTCTTCTTCCAAAAATAGATTTGCTAATGTTTCTGAGTTTCAAATCTAAGGTATTTGCATTGTACCGACATGTTTCAACCATTCTTATAAGTTAGGTCTGTAAACCGAAACAAAAAAAATCCGATTTTGAGTTCATAACAAACCAGTCTATGCAAATACTCAGACATCAAACCTGTCGTTGTTCACCTTAACAATATCCACCACTGCTGACATCTCCGGACTTGCTCAAATCAACTTTGAGAGGGGCAGGAACAGATTTTGCCAGTGTTTATGATCTTCATCCTATCAAAGCATGTGTTTGCACGCGCTCCATACAACACGGCAAACTGCAATAACAGTGGAAGAGAGGTAAGCATTTGGTAATCTAGGAAGAGATACATAATAATTTGCTACTAGTATTATTGAGGTTTATCGGTCTCAACGGGAAAATAAGCATTTTGTGACTGTATTTCATTACACAAATCGTTATTCCACGGCTGAAACAAAATAATGACTATGAGTTTGATGGTTATTGGGGCCACAAACAAACATTTAAACATACTAGTAATTAACATTTTAGACAACAAATAATCTACACAACCGGAAATTAGTATCCTCCCTTCCCTGCATCACTTAGGAGATATATCAATAATACCTTAAGAAAACATAAATGTCATATGACGTGCTGCTTATCACCATGCTATTAAATGAATGATATGGGTTGTGGTTGCACTTGCACATTTTCAAGATGTGCAGTACTATTTAATATCCATCTCTTTATATATTGAATGCATTATTAGTTTGCTATAAATGTACCATTCGGTCCACTCATGTTATTATTTCTTTTGGGGGACAGAACAATAACTACATCTACAGCCAGTAGGCAGTAGCGGCCCTGGCAGAAAGCATTAAAAGTTCCAGCTTCCGGTTTTTAATCAATATATAAATGTTCAGCCGATTTTTACTACTCTTTCTCTCAAGTGTAATGGTTACGGTCATGATATTTTAGTTCGAGGTCACGTGTTCAACACCTCCAGTGTAGAATTCTTTTTAAATTTATGTAGACAAAATAGGGCTTATTTGCCAAATAGCTAGTAAAAAAATGAAAATTAGTTTTTTAGGAGAGAGAGTAGAGAGAGATAGGAAGAAAGAAGGGGAGAGAGAGTATGAATTTGGCTATTTAACTAATTATGGGTTTTTGTATGGTTATAGGGTCCAATTTCCCAAATATATATTACCGGCCCTTTTTTTAAAAGCTTCTGACCTATATATTTATAGAGCCTGCACTGTCTACAGCTTACATGATTTTCTTTTTTTTTTCTCTCGACCACCTACGATTGGAATTTAGTTCGTATAAGTTCTCTGCGTATATACGAGGAACCAGCCGTCCAGTTACCATCCAACGTATTTTAAAATACTACTCCATTAATTCTATACTGTAAGACCATCTCCGATGGAGGTTCTATCCCATTGGAGTTCTAAAACTATATATATATGTGTATATATATATTATATATATGTATGTAATTGTAGGATCTACCAAATAGTGTAGAATTCTCCCCAAAAATTCTAAAAAATTCTACATTTAGAACGTTTGAGGAGGGTTCTACACTATTTGGTATACCATACAATTACATACATATATATAATATATACATACACATATATATAATTTTAGAATTCTAATGGGATAGAACCCCCATTGGAGATGGTCTAAGTTGTGAAGGACAACACTATATGTCCTTTAGTCTAGATAAATGTGACGCTGTAATTGGTAACTTACAGTTACAAATCACATCCTTGAAATAATGACACTTTATAGCTCATATTAAATATGACAGGAATGAGCTATCTATAAAATCTTTGAAATTTTAGAAATATTTCTTTTAATTTATTCAACAACTATGACCGGCCGGCCTTGACAAAACCATTGAAAGTCTCCACACATTTTTTCTTCTTTCAAATAAACTTCCAGACATAACATTTTAGACCAAACATATATTTTATCAACGTCTGATAATTATACAAAGCAGATACCAATGACTCACGAGCCTTAGAGCACCTCCATCAAAGGTTTAGATGGCACCCATTTTTCAAAAAAAGAAAATTAAAATAAGGAATAGTGATGAATTAGCCTATTGTAGGTTTTCTGTGGTGAACCCGGTTCATCACTGTAGCGCAGACCCCACAATACCTGGCAACCCACGATTCATCTATTTAAAAAAAATAAAATAAAAAAAAAACAGAAAAATTTTAATTATAAAAAATTGATTCAATGAACCCTAAAAGAGGGAGGGGGTTCATTGATGTGGATGCTCTAGTAACCCTCTTTCGAAAAGAGCAGCCTTCGTAGCTTTGAGTGACTCCTCCATGTCATCGCATATCTGATGAGGATCCGGTATAATTGTAGGATCAACAGCTAACGAGATTATCATCTTCCCCGCATAACTTATGTAGTGTACCAACAATGCCTATCAAACACAAAGAACATAAGTGTTGGAAGAACAGTCTTAAAACAAAGCCTATCACACAACTAATCATGGGTTGTCCCAAAACTAAATTATTGTTGTTTGGCCAAACAAAGATGAGATCATGACAGTTACAAACAAAAAAAGGATGAGATCATGTTTTAGTTTTGATTAGAAAATTCAGAATCTGACTAGTGCCCGGTACTGTGAAAATTTACCCAAATATCCCAGGTCAATTGAAAGAAAAGCCTATCATTAAATTAAATTATGCAGCAAAAAAAGAAGCTACGTACTTGTGATTGTCCATAATTACTTGGAGCGATGTAAGCAATAGGATGGCCACGGAAACTTATTTCATCCATGGGACCAATGACGTTTGAAACGCATGTAGTTAAATTCACCACGGGTCGGTTGAATGTGGCTGCTGCTGCCTAATATAGTAAAAAAATATTGCGTTAATATTTGCTAGCAAATGTCTAATCAAGTTCATTGATCACTTTGTTTACCTTAGCTCCAAAAACTGTTCGAATACTTTTGATGATAAAATACGCTAGTGCAGCGTGATAAGAATGCTTCTTTCGAGCCATAATGGATTTGGATATTTTTAGATAGACCAAAGGATCGGTTTGTAAACTGATGGAGAAGGGCAAGATGATAAAGCTGAAGTAGTTTCCCCATCTGCATTTTGAGTCCTTAGCCATCATATCTGCCAAAGGCTTTTTATATACATATTTGCTCGTCAGTGACAACAATACAAGTTTTAGTTGAATTTGATGAGGTGTGTATCTCTAACCTTGAACCCAATGTCCGACCTCAGATTTACTGTACAACCTGCACGGAAACGTAGTTTACGTGGAAGATGGTTCTGATTCCATGACAATGCTCTGTCCTCCTCATGATTCTTGCCTTGTTTATATAAAAACAAGATATAACGTGTGAAACATTAGATATAGAATCAACACACATATTCCTTTGTTGTATTAGAATGAACTTTAAAAGAAAAAAAAAAAATAGAATGAACTTTAGGGTTGAAATATTAATTATGATATTAACTGTTAGAATTTTTAAATTATACTCCATCAGTTTCAAATTAAATGTTATTGCTAAAAGTTTTTCATTACAAATGAACATCATTATATTATTCGAATGTAGTATTAGTTTATCTATATTCTTCCTAATTAATTAAATTAAAAACAATAAATGCTATAGAATTTTAATAGACAAGTAAAGAGTAAACTAATTAATAATTATGTTAAAAACATTAGAGATATCTAATTTAAAATGTTTTAAACATCATGTTACCATAAAGTCGATTCAAATAGCGAGAAAGAGCAGCTTGTGTAACTCCAAGTAGAACATCGTTGATAGTCTAGCAACAGGCGAAAGACACAATAATTATCCATTCAAAAGAACAAAAGAAACTCAAACCCTCGAATTAGTTATCAACAAAAAGCGTAACGTACCATATTCATACTGTTCTTTATTAGTTTTATGTCATCCAAAGAGATAGTTCTTCGATAAAATCTCGTTGGATTCCTCCCAACATCCTTGCCACCTTTAAGAGGTGTCTTTGTATCCTTCAAAAACAATATAGTCGCAAAAAGAAGCACCGTGTCTACAAAGGTGTTCCAAAGCAATCTCATTGTAGAACCAACGGTGAATATCAACCTTAAGAACCAGCCTTGTTTTCTAAGGCCACGCGGCACCGTTTCACGCCGTTTCAAGGAAGGAATATCAGTATTCCCAGGGTCTGATGTCTTATGGGTACATGCGAGGATGAGAGAAATCATAGACATCCCATCTCCCAATGAATGGTGAGATCTTGTTACAACAACTGATTCAGCATCTGAGGTTTTTACGTTAAGGATGTGCATGTCCCACAAGGGTCTTGATCTATCAAGAGGAATCGTCGTGAGACGTGAGATGTAGTCATCTACGAAACCTTGTCCATCTTCACCTATCTCTTTTGGGTCTATGTTTGGTACAACTGGGTACAACTACATGGTCTTCTACATTGACTTGAACCTCTACCCATTTTGCACCATCCCCACTCTATGAAGTTAAGACAAACGGAGATCAAACACAACCAAATCTATTAGGAAAAAATTGTATTATGTATAAGGATCGTCTTAAACTACATTTAGAAGAAATATAATTTATTAAAATTAAAATTATTGAGGATAAATCTTTTAGTATATTTATATATATATATATATATATATATATATATATATATATATGATGTGTTGTTTTTTAAAAAAAAATTAGAGATTCAATTATATAAATAGTTGAAATATAATTCTATAAAAGCAAACCTTTAGATTTGATCATGTTGAAATGCACTAATTGTAATATATTGTATAAAGTTGGTACCAGTTTGGAGGAAAAACGAGGATGTTTGGAGACATTATGCTTCAAGGCATCAAGAATGACGTCCGGACAGAACTTGGTTTTGAAGCCCATGATGGTGACGGCGCAGTAGTCTACCTCTGGTGATAGGAATACACTCGCCATCGGGCTGAGCGGCTGCTCCTCCACCTCCTCCTCCTCCTCCTTACTAATTCTCACTTTCATCTTCAATGTCTGTTTCTAGTACTCTCCTCTTCTACAGTTATTTATAACGTGAATAGGGGGCATATGTAGTATGAAGACTATAGGAACACGCCGCCCACTCAAATGGTAAATTAATAAATTGCATAAAAAAGTAAAATGTATGGTTCTTCAGTATACATGTGAGTCTATAGTTGTCCATCGTTTTGTCTTATTCTACCAATTATATGTACCAGTTAAAAAAATCATTTGGAACGCTAGTTACATGCAAGGCCATTCAGCGAGTCGCTAAAACAACAACATCAATGAATTCTTGTGAATCTCTTTTCATTATTATTATTTTTTTCATTTAAGTTTTTTAAAAATAAAATAATAATAATAATCAGACCAATCAATAACTGACACGTGGTGAACTTATGTTTATGGGGTTCATAGAAGATGATTTTAATATTAAAATTTTAGACGTTTTACATCTGTTTTTCATGATGCTATGTAGCTTTTGACTATAAATATAAAAGCAAAAGCAAAAAGTCTATAAGTAGAATAGAAGAGGGAAAGCCTTTATGAAAAAGAAAGTCGACATGAAGCAAATTACGGTTTGAGTAAGAAGATTTTAGGCGTTTCTGGAGTTACTAACCTGGCGTTTGTAGATTTTAGGCGTTTCTAGAGTACGCTCCGCTCAGAAATCCACAACAGATTTGTGTTTTCTCAAATCTTTGAAATGATTTTTTTTGAAGAATATTGTTATGCCACTCTTCAGCAAGAAACTATGTCGATGTGGATCCATAATTGTAGATTCAACATTGAGGATACAATCGTTCAATCTATCTAGTTAGAAATTAAAATTTCATAATGTATTGGAGAAAATTAAGAGTAGGTACAAATAAAGAATTACAGAATTCACAATTTCTAAAATCAAAGTAGAGATGAATTTAAGCTAATGGCATCATCAATTAAACCGTATCTAGAGAAAAAGATTAACTGCTCCAATAAATCGTGGGATCATGGGTGTTTCGAAATTGCTATTAGAGATTTTTTAGTTTTTTTATATAGAAAAATAGGAATTATGTAAGTGATACGAAAAATTTTCTTTTGCTTTTGAAATTCATTTTTGTATTTAAGATTTTTCTTTAAATTGTTAATATGCCACTTGGCGGAATATAATTGGTAAAGCGACTTACGCTTTAGTATATAAAAGATATGAGAAAAAAATGAGAAGGCACATAGAGATTTTTTTTATATTTTTATATGTATTATACTCCATTTTATATATATTACCAATTTTTATATATGATACATGTTTAGATACAAATTTATTAAAATAATTTTACTATAGTTTATGTACTATAACTTTAATATAAATTATACATACCAATTGTATTAACAAATTGATTAGCGTATGAAAATTATAATTTGAGTTGTCTAATGAAGATGCAAGTGGAGCTTCTAGATGTCAATGGTCTTCTGTGACTAACTAGGCGATGAATTCACTGATGCTGGAGGCATTAGTCGTTACTACATAAGGCATGCGGAGTGGTGGGTTACCATGTGGATGCAAGATATGCTGAGATGGAGAAGGATAAACTAGAGGTTTATGTCTTGACGTAGTCGTTGAAGTAGTTGCTGATGCAGCGTGTGTCAGAGAGTGAACCAGGAGGCATGCAGAGTGGTAGAGACCATGTGGATGCAAGATGCTGAGCTGGCGTGGGATAAACTTGAGGAGCAAGTTTATACCGTGGATAAAAGGCAAGAGATAAACTTGAGTAGCAAGTTTATGCCTTGAGGAATAAGTACAAATCCAAGAAAAGGAAAGTGTACTTATTAATGTGGAAGTTGTCCATATATCCATGTTGCCTTGGAGACTAGGGTTTCAGGAACGTGGAGATCACTATAAAAGAGCTATGGAGTCGTGTGTATTCCATAAGACACTTGGGGCTTTTATTATAGAGGAAGGGTGAAAATCCCTTAGGGTGTTCTTGGGTCGTGCTGAAGCAGATGCTGAAGCATATGACGATGAAGAGACAAGTTTGGATAGATTAGGAATCTTTCAGTAGCAGCTGTTAGGGTGTTAACATGCTGTGTAAAGCTGATAAGCAGATCTTGTAATAGATTGTTTAAAGATGATTTCTAATAAAGCATATGTTTACTTGTATCTATTTTGTCTCTTGGTTTATCTTCTGCAGTACTATATTGTGGTGTCATCTTTGCACTTACAATTGGTATCAGAGCGGGTCACCTAAGTTACTGGTGTGATCCTGAAGGTGAAGATGTACACGGTTGTTTGCAGAAGACAATAAGTTGGTTGATGGCCAGTTTGGTCATGAGAAGGTGCGCATGAAGTTGTTGGTTCAAGGAATCAATGAGGATGCGTGGATAGCTGTGAAGACTGTGTAAGAGGATCCTATGGTGGTTACAGCAGAGGGGAAGAAGTCCAAGTCGAAGGAGCCAAGACAAGGCAAGGAGTGGTTCGAGAAGTAGTTCAGCGGATGCGTCAGAGGTTGATGCAGTACACATGAAGGTGCAGACAGTGTGTCTGTGAAAGAAGGCTTGACATCTAAGCATCTATGTTTTAGCTTAGTATGCAATCAAGCAGGGGGAGAAGTGATGACATTCTGGTCCAAAGAGTGCATATCTCGTGGGGGAGAAGAGCATGGTGATGGACGTCCTGATGTAGATGGTGCATATCTCGTGGGGGAGAAGAGCATATCTAATGTGTGAAGATGAAGATAATGCAAGTCTCGTGGGGGAGAACTGCATATCGAGTGTGGAAGTTTCCAGGTGAAGAAACGTGGTTGTTGAACCAGGAGAGTATTGTGCTTGATTGGCACACAAAGCTAAAAGGGGGAGATTGAAGAAGCAAGTGGAGCTTGTAGATGTCAATGGTCTTCCGTGACTAACTAGGCGATGAAGTCACTGATGCTGGAGGCATTAGTCGTTACTACATAAGACATGCGGAGTGGTGGGTTACCATGTGGATGCAAGATATGCTGAGATGGAGAAGGATAAACTAGAGGTTTATGTCTTGACGTAGTCGTTGAAGTAGTTGCTGATGCAGCGTGTGTCAGAGAGTGAACCAGGAGGCATGCGGAGTGGTAGAGACCATGTGGATGCAAGATGCTGAGCTGGCGTGGGATAAACTTGAGGAGCAAGTTTATACCGTGGATAAAAGGCAAGAGATAAACTTGAATAGCAAGTTTATGCCTTGAGGAATAAGTACAAATCCAAGAAAATGAAAGTGTACTTATTAATATGGAAGTTGTCTTGGAGACTAGGGTTTCAGGAACGTGGAGATCACTATAAAAGAGCTATAGAGTCGTGTGTATTCCATAAGACACTTGGGGCTTTTATTATAAAGGATGGGTGAAAATCCCTTAGGGTATTCTTGGGTCGTGCTGAAGCAGATGCTGAAGCATACGACAATGAAGAGACAAATTTGGGTAGATTAGGAATCTTTCAGTAGCAGTTGTTAGTGTGTTAACAGACTGTGTAAAGCTGATAAACAGATCTTGTAATAGATTGTTTAAAGATGATTTCTAATAAAGCATATGTTTGTTTGTATCTATTTTGTCTTTTGGTTTATCTTCTGTAGTACTATATTGTGGTGTCATCTTTGCACTTACATATAATTGGGCCTATGGATGATTAGGTTTGTGAAAATAATAAATAATAATAATAATAATAATAATAATAATAATAATAATAATAATATTTATTTTCTTTGTTTACTCAATCATTCAACCAACCATGGAAAAGATCGGAATCACTACTGATCACACGTTGCATTCTCCACGTCCAAGCGGACACAAATCGGACCACCACATAACATCACAGATCTGCATGAACCCACCACGCTCCATCTCTGGTTATCATTTTCCGGCTGCATAATCGGTGATGCGGTCGAGTTTACATCACTGATAGTTTCTCATAATAATAACATTAGATAAACTTAAATGAGATTCCAAATTATTAAATTTGATGTGATTTCATTTTTAATGGAACTCAGAAGTAAGACTATTCCATCAAATTTGATATAGTACAATTCCTAACACTAAAATGTAAAAGTATATATTTTATATTGTTTCATGTATAGTATGATGATTGGTTACTTCATATTTATTACTATAAAAAAAATCAAATCATGTCATCTTTTCAATTAATGATAACTAAAAATTGTAACTAAATAAAATATCATATGTAGTTTTATATTTTCTAAATTATTATAAAAATGAATAATAGAAATTAATGTGTTATTATTAATCACATTAAATATTAAGATAATATATGTTTATTTTATTAATAATAGCTAATCCAGTATTATAAATAAATTCAAACTTTTATTAAAATAAACTTATCAGTTTATTCTGTACTTTTCATATTTAATTTTAAGTTAAATAAATTAATATATAAATGAGTTTACAAAAATCAAATACGTACTGAAAATATAAAATTATAATAAAAACATAAAATTAAATCTGATAAAATAGTATAAAATGTTATTTTAGTGTGAAATTATGTATTGTGTTTGAAGATGAAAACAAAGTTAACACTATAATTTGGTGTTATGGGTGGAATTTTTCTTACATTTTAACATTCAATGTAACTTTGATTAACGATCAGCTAGAGCAAATATACTGGTGGTGTTAAGCCAATGTTCAAAAAAAAAAAAAAAAATATACTGGTGCCATATATGCCTTACTCAAATTTAACTTCTACCTAAAAAGAAAAGTACTACGAGTAATTATCCCTCATGGAATTGATAAGGTTGCCGTGGAGATTACAACTTACAAGGAGTGTGTTAACTCGCGTCAAAAGGGTCGTTTATGGTTATGGATCATGTTTGAAATCATTTATATATTGGTTTGTTTTGCGTACCAAGTTTAAAATCATCTATGTTTGTTACAAAATTTGAAATTCAACAAAATATCATTGTTCTCTTTATTTTGAATTCCGACTTCCATTTTTTTAATCAATTTTTTTTAATTGTTTTTATTGCCCGAGTTTGGTTTTGAAATTATATATGGTTTCACTCATTCCCTTTTGTATTGATGTATTCAATGACTTAGAACTTGTTTATATATTGATTTTGTCAAAATAGTTCAGAGAAACTTTTTGTAGTTAGCTAATAAAAAGGTAATCGTTTATATATAATCTATGATTTTTAGAACTATATAATTTATGTTATTCAAAGCACTTATGCATTATTTCTTTAACAAGAAAGCGTTTTTTTTTTTTTTTTTGCTAAACTAAAAAAAACAAATCGTTTGAATTCACAGTAGTTTATATCAAATATGTCACATCCAATGTTTTTCATGTGTGTTTTAGTATTAATCTTATATTCGGATAAGCAAAAGAAACATCATTAAAGATAGATCATAGCTTCTTGCCTTGGCCTTTTCCATACTCTCTTGTTTGGTAAACTATTTATATCTGCATATATACTACTGGGCCATTCTCTTAATAGTTGGTGGTTGCCAAAAAAGTGACGCCAAGGAGGTGCAGCACCATATTTCTAATTGATTGAATTCATGTTTTTTTTAGCAGCGATCGAATAACTAATGGAGAAAGTAAGAAACATTACCCATACATTCTTAATGGTCATAATTACACCTACAATTGGCAATTTTGTCTGTTGGCCACACACAGTTAGAAATAAGTTCAAATAAAATTGGTTGAGGAGACCAACTACTATTGCAATTCCACGAGTTGTAAAACGACACAATGTTTGTCTTTTTCGTTTGTTTGACAATTATTGTAAAAATTCTGTAAATTAATAAATATGATAAATTAATAAAAATTTCAAGTTAAACTGGTTCAAAATATATTACAAATTGAAAAAATAATAAGATAATAATTTTAAAAAAAACTTAGGTAAATATATGATTCCTTTAAACTCATAACCTAATATATATATGTATGTTTTATTTAAGTACATCAAACCATTAATTATTTGTTTTATATTTAGAATACAATTATTTATATTTTTCTTAACACTTAAATATATTTGGATAATATATCTAATAAATTATATCTAAAACCGAATTTAAACTTATTGAAGTATATTTCATAGACATCAAATAGAATAAAAAAATATGAAATTTGAATTTCAAAATTTTACTTTATAAACAGTAAAATAAACTATTTTTATTTTATAAAAAATATTCTAAAATATAAAGTCTAAAAAGAAAACGTTTTTGTAAATAAAATAATTCTATAAATTAATAAAATATTCTATTCCTGATATATTAATTTATAGTTTTTATTGTATTATCAACAACATCATCTTCAAAACTTCAAAACTTTAAAAGCGTTTTGTATCGTAAACACAGCACCACAAGCTAGTGCATTTGAGAATCGTTCTCATTTCAGGGTGCTAGAAGTTGTGGATGAAGTTGAGAAAAAATCATCTAATTTTCTTAGCTTGACAAGGGTGGGAGGGAGAGAAAACCTCCTATCAAATAACAAGACATGGAATGGAAGATGGTCCAAGAGAGAAGAAAAAATTTACAAAATTTTGTGATTGACGTGGTGGTGGTTCTTATCATTAGTTATTGTCTTTCATTACATTGTTAGTTTTTTAGTTTCTTCCTTTGTTGTTTCTTAGGTTAGGACTTAATCTTTCAACATTTCTTAACTCTGGCATAATAGTTTTTGTTTTTTCTTTAAATTGAAACCTTAGTACGAAAAAAGAAGTTGACATCATAATCAAAGAACACGTATGCAGGCATATATACGGATACCAATGACTCATGACAAGCCTTACAGCAACCCTTTTTCAGAAAGAGCAGCTTTCATCTCTTTGAGTGACTCTTCCATGTCATCACATATCTTGTGAGGATCCGGGATGATTCTAGGATCAACCGCTAACGAGATTATCATCTTCCCCGCATAACTCATGTAATGTACCAACAACGCCTATCAAACATAAATGTCGGAAAATAAGTCAATAAAGCCTATCATTTAATTAAATTACGCAGCAAAAAAAAGAAGCTACGTACTTGTGATTGTCCATAATTACTTGGAGCAATGTAAGCGATAGGATGGCCACGGAAACTGATTTCCTCCATAGGACCAATGACGTTTGAAACGCATGTTGTTAAGTTCACCACCGGTCGGTTGAATATAGTTGATGCTGCCTATTATATTGACAATATTGCGTTAATATTGCAAACAAAATGTCTAACTAAGTTCAGTGATAAGGTAGGCTTATACGGACACCGCTAATCTGGATCCACTTTGGTGGGTGCCAGGATACACCGGGTTATTCAAAAAAAATATTGCAAACAAATGTCTAACCAAGTTCAGTGATTACTTTGTTTACCTTAGCTCCAAACACTGTTCGAATACTTTTGATGATAAAATACGCTAGTGCAGCGTGATAAGAATGCTTCTTTCGAGCCATAATGGATTTGGATATTTTTAGATAAACCAAAGGATCGGTTTGTAAACTGATGGAGAAGGGCAAGATGATAAAGCTGAAGTAGTTTCCCCATCTGCATTTTGAGTCCTTAGCCATCATATCTGCCAAAGGCTTTTACATACATATTTGCTCGTTAGTGACAACAATAAAAGTTTTAGTGTTAAATTGATGAACACTAAACTATTGATGAACTGTTAATAAACTATATATATATCTCTAACCTTGAACCCGATGTCCGACCTCAGATTTACTGTACAACCTGCACGGAAACGTAGTTTACGTGGAAGATGGTTCTGATTCCATGTCAATGCTCTGTCCACCTCATGATTCTTGCCTTGTTTATATAAAAAACAAGATATAACGTGTGACACAATATTAGATATAGAACCAACACACATAAGCCTTTGTTGTATTAGAATGAACTTTAGGGTTGACATATTAATTATGATATTAACTGTTAGAATCTTTAAATAATACTCCATCTGTTTCAAACTAAATGCCATTGCTTAGAGTTTTTCATTACAAATGAATATCACTATATAATTCCAATGTAAAATTTTATTAGTTTAACTGTTTTATTCCTAATTAATTAAATTAAAAAACAAGAAATTCTATTGAATTTTAATAGACAAGTAAGAGTAGAACTAATTCGTAACAATTAGAGAAAATGACTAGGATAGACCTTAAAAGTTTTTGTCACAATTATAGACCTTAACAATTAAAATGACCAAAATAGCATTTAAATGTTTTATTAAATATACATTTATACCATTTGGGCTAACTAATTCTAGATTTTTTTGTTTAGAGTTTAGAAGTGGGGTTTTGTGAATAGGGTTTCAAATTTTAAAAAATAGAAAAAACTTAAAATTTTCAAAATAAAAAGTGTTATTTTGGTCATTTTAATTTTTGAGGTCTATTTTGTGATAAAAACTTAAAAAAAACTATTTGAGAGAATTGCCCTAGTAATTATGTTAAAACATTAGAGATAACTAATTTTAAATGTTTTAAAATTTATGTTTACCATAAAGTCGGTTCAAATAGCGAGAAAGAGCAGCTTGTGTAACTCCAAGTAGAACATCGTTGATAGTCTAGCAACAGACGAAAGAGACAATAAAGATCCATTTAAAAAATAATTATGAACATAAACCGTAACGTACCATATTCATAGAGTTCTTTATAAGTTTTATGTCATCCAAAGAGATAGTTCTTCGATAAAATCTCGTTGGATTCCTCCCAACATCCTTGCCACCTTTAAGAGGTGTCTTTGTATCCTTCAAAAACAATATAGTCGCAAAAAGAAGCACCGTATCTACAAAGGTGTTCCAAAGCAGTCTCATTGTAGAACCAACGGTGAATATCAACCTTAAGAACCAGCCTTGTTTTCTAAGGCCACGCGGCACCGTTTCACGCCGTTTCAAGGAAGGAATATCAGTATTCCCAGGGTCTGATGTCTTATGGGTACATGCGAGGATGAGAGAAATCATAGACATCCCATCTCCCAATGAATGGTGAGATCTTGTTACAACAACTGATTCAGCATCTGGGGTTTTTACGTTAAGGATGTGCATGTCCCACAAGGGTCTTGATCTATCAAGAGGAATTGTCGTGAGACGTGAAATGTAGTCATCTACGAAACCTTGTCCATCTTCACCTATCTCTTTTGGGTCTATGAATGGTACAACTACATGGTCTTCTACATTGACTTGAACCTCTACCCATTTTGCACCATCCTCACTCTATGAAGTTAAGACAAACGGAGATCAAACACAACCAAATCTATAAGTAAAAAAATTTAGGGAAAAAATTGTATATGTATAAGGATCGTCCTAAACTACATTTAGAAGATATATAATTTATTTAAATTAAAATTATTGAGGATAAATCTTTTAGTATATATATATATATATATATATATTTGATGTGTTGTTTAAAAAAAAAAATTAGAGATTCAATTATATAAATAGTTGAAATATAATTCTATAAAAGTAAACCTTTAGATTTTTACATGTTGAAATGCACTAATTATAATAGATTAATTGTATAAGTTGGTACCAGTTTGGAGGAAAAACGAGGATGTTTGGAGACATTATGCTTCAAGGCATCAAGAAGGACGTCAGGACAGAACTTGGTTTTGAAGCCCATGATGGTGACACCGCAGTAGTCTACCTCTGGAGATAGGAATACACTCGCCATCGGGCTGAGCGGCTGCTCCTCCTCCACCTCCTCCTCCTTACTAATTCTCACTTTCATCTTCAATGTATGTTTCTAGTACTCTCCTCTCCTACACTTATTTATAACGTGAATAGGGGGCATATGTAGTATAAAGAAGACTATAGGAACACGCCGCCCACTCAAATGTTTACACTTACAATTATTGCATAAAATAATAAATTGCATAAAAAAGTAAAAATGTATGGTTCTTCAGTATACATGTGAGTCTATAGTTGTCCATTGTTTTGTCTTATTCTACCAATTATATGCACCAGTTAAATAATCATTTGGAACACTGGTTACATGCAAGGCCATTAATAAATAAAGAATTGAAAAAGAAAGAAAGAGAAGAGGAGTATTCTCGAGATAGAGAAACTTTCTCTGGTTTTGAAGAAACCTATGTGCAAAATATAAAACATCCTCAATAGTTAGATACTCTCAAAAGTATCAACCCATATAATACTGATATTTTTAACAGCTTAAGTATTGATTAATTTTAAATGAAATAAAAGCTAATTTGATATGTAATGGGGTTTTCAACATTGTTTTGTTGAGTATCTCAAATGATGTTCCTATTTCACATTTCACCCTTTCTTTCACCATTTTATAATATTTATTTGATTATTGTTAAAACCTCCTCTAAAAACCTCCAGGATACTCTATATTGGGTTGTTATTATATAATAATAAACATTAATTTTATTTTTCAATAAAATTGCTTGACTATCTAGGAGTTGCTGATGCCCTACTGGTCATCAAACAAACAAATACAAAGAAATTACACGTGGTTGAGGTGAAAAAGTATAGTATTTTCTTTTTGTTTCAGAAATTCTCTAGGCACTACACGTACTGACGTGCATCACATCTAGACCTAATGATTTATTGTAAACTAGATTGTATATGAAATTCTCTAGGCACTACAGGTGGTTAATTCTTTTTCATATATGTTGCAAAATAAAATAAAATATTTTCTTAGAAGAAAAAAAGTTACATGTACATATATAGTCAAGACTTAAGAGTTATATGCACTAAATCAATTATAGTTAAACGTTACTTTGTAATATATATTTAGAAACAAAATAATTGACTTTATATATTACAACAGTCCAAGATGATTAGTGCAAGATATTGATCTCTTTTCCAAAACCGGAAAACATTCCACATGAAAAACAAATTGAAGGAAAGCATATCTTTTGCATAACTACAGTTGTTGCCCAAAAAAAAGAAGCATAACTACAGTTATACTACCAACTTTTAATTTTGTTGATAATTGACATTAATTAGTATCATTTTGTAGTATTTTCCTTCTCATTCTTTTGTTTGCTTTTCGCTGTACATTTTAAACTTCTTCATTTTCATTGTTATACTATAAAAATTTAGTAACACTATATAATGAATTTTTTAATAAAAATGTATAGATTGATCGGAAAGTAAAAAGAAAAAAGAAATATAACATCTCTATAGAAATTATAAACACATAAAAAATACTAACCTTGTGAGGTTGCATCTTCATATAGACAGTAGACATGACTCATGTGTGGTTTTAGTTGCCTTTATCATTTGCGTTTCTGAAGTCCTATTGTTGTCTTCTAGTTATTATAAATTTTTTTTTTCTGTGCCGTAGTGCGTCTCGGGTTTCCTAAGAGTCTTTTTATACGTGTGCTTTAAGGGGAGTCTTTCTTACTCCTGAAACATCACCATCACACAAATAAGCATATTACAGCAGCCCGAATATTGATTTAGTTAATTTTCAAAATGTTATATTTACATCTGTTTTTCACGATGCTATGTAGCTTTTGACTATAAATACAAAATCAAAAGCAAAAAGTCTATAAGTTGAATAGAAGAGGGAAAGCCTTTAATTTATGAAAAAGAAAGTCAACATGAAGCAAATTACGGTTTGAGTAAGAAGATTTTAGGCGTTTCTAGAGTTACTAACCTGGACTTTAATGTTCATATGCCAATTTTGGAGTACGCTCCGCTTAGAAATCCACAACAGATTTGTGTTTTTCTCAAATCTTTGAAATGATTTTTTTTGAAGAATATTATTATGCCACTCTTCAGCAAGAAACTATGTCGATGTGGATCCATAATTGTAGATTCAACATTGAGAATACAATCGTTCAATCTATCTAGTTAGAAATTAAAATTTCATAATGTTTTAGAGAAAATTAAGAGTAGGTACAAAGAAAGAATTACAGAATTTACAATTTCTGAAATAAAAGTAGAGATGAATTTAAGCTAATGGCATCATTAGTTAAACCGTATCTAGAGAAAAAGATTAACTGCTCCAATAAATCGTGGGATTATGGGTGTTTCGAAATTGCTATTAGAGATTTTTTTTAGTTTATTTATATAGAAAAATAGGAATTATGTAAGTGATACGAAAAAATTTATTTTGCTTTTGAAATTCATTTTTTGTATTTAAGATTTTTCTTTAAATTGTTAATATGCCACTTGTCGGAATATAATTGGTGAAGTGACTTACGCTTCAGTATATAAAAGATATGAGAAAAAAACGAGAAGGCACATAGAGATTTTTTTTATATTTTTATATGTATTATATTATATTTTACTAGGTGATGTGTCCGCATATGCGAACATAATTTTCTTACGAATATTTATTATGTTTTGTTTTATTAATTCTAAAATAATATTATAAGTTATTTTTTATAGTTTTAAAAAACCTAATTAAACATTAAAATATTTTGTATGAATTTTCATCAAAATCTGTATGATTATTATAGTGTTGAAGAACATCCGCATGATAATTTTTTTTTGAATATATATATATATATATATATATATATATTTTTCTTAATATTTAATTTTAAATTTTTTTATAACTTACATTTTTTATTTTTCATAATACAAATTATTTCCAGATAACTGTATAATATTCTATAAGATATCTTATATTTTAAATATGCATGAATGTGGATAATTATCCTATTAATTTATAATAAATCAACTAATATAATAAGATATAAATTTCTATCACTAACATAAAATTCGTTTTTAACTAATTTATATATAAATCTATAAATTTCATTAAAGGTATCATTAACTTGAACCATTCCAATTTTCAATATCTAATATTTAATTATATGAATAAAAGTATCTTTATACAAATGTTTTTGTTTAATTAATATTTAATTAAAATCGATTTTATATTTTAATTTTTAAATTTTTATAATAGAATGATATTATTTTAAAAAGTCAAAATCAATTATATATAAAATTAAGATATATAAGCATTATCATGTTGTTACAATATTATATATTCAGATAATAATAACATATATAAGAATTTTTTTTATATAAACTTATTATATTAATTATTATCAGTTATCTAAGATAATAACATATTAATCTAATTTTTTTTTTAAATTTCGTTTTTAATTATCAAATTAGTTATATATAAAAATTTCATTAAGAGGAAAATATATATTAACCGCTCCAACTTTTAACGGGAGAGCTCCATTGCGAAAAATCAATTCGCAAATAATAGTATAAATATATAAATTTTATTAAAGGTATCATTAACTTGAACCGTTCCAATTTTCAATATCTAATATTTAATTATATAAGTAAAAGTATCTTTATACAAATGTTTTTGTTTAATTAATATTTAATTAAAATCGATTTTTATATTTTAATTTTTAAATTTTATAATAGAATGCTATTATTTTCAAAACTCAAAATCAATTATATATAAAATTAAGATATATAAGCATTATCATGTTGTTACAATATTATATATTCAGATAATAAAAACATAATATAAGAATTATTTTATTTTTTTATTTTTTATAAACTTATTATATTAATTATTCTCAGTTATCTAAGATAATAACATACTAATCTAATTTTATTTTTAAACTTTCGTTTTTAATTATCAAATTAGTTATATATAAAAATTTCATTAAGGGTAAAATATATATTAACCGCTCTAACTTTTAACGTGAGAGCTCCATTGCGAAAAATCACTTCGCAAATAATAGTATAGATATATATATTACCAATTTTTATATATGATACATGTTTAGATATAAATTTATTAAAATAATTTTACTATACTTTATGTACTTTAACTTTAATATAAATTATACATACAAATTGTATTAACAAATTGATTAGCGTATGAAAATTATAATTTGAGTTGTATAATTGGGCCTATGGATGATTAGGTTTGTGAAAATAATAATAATAATAATAATAATAATAATAATAATAATAATAGTAATAATAATGTTTATTTTCTTTGTTTACTCAATCATTCAACCAGCCATGGAAAAGATCGGAATCACTACTGATCACACGTCGCATTCTCCACACGGTCCAAGCGGACACAAATCGGACCACCACATAACATCACAGATCTGCATGAACCCACCACGCTCCATCTCTGGTTATCATTTTTCGGCTGCTATGCGGTCGAGTTTACATCACTGATATTTTCTCATAATAATAACATTAGATAAACTTAAATGAGATTCCAAATTATTAAATTTGATGTGATTTTCATTTTTAATGGAACTCAGAAGTAAGACTATTCCATCAAATTTGATATAGTACAATTCCTAACACTAAAATGTAAAAGTATATATTTTATATTGTTTCATGTATAGTATGATGATTGGTTACTTCATATTTATTACTATAAAAAAAATCATGTGATTTTTTCATTTTTTCAATTAATGATAACTAAAAATTGTAACTAATAAAATATCATATATAGTTTTATATTTTCTAAATTATTATAAAAATGAATAATAGAAATTAATGTGTTATTATTAATCACATTAAATATTAAGATAATCTATGTTTATTTTATTAATAATTGCTAAACCAGTATTATAAATAAATTGAAAATTTTATTAAAATAAACTTATCAGTTTATTCTGTACTTTTCATATTTAATTTTAAGTGACATTTTAAGTTAAATAAATTAATATATAAATGAGTTTACAAAAATCAAATACATACTGAAAATATAAAATTATAATAAAAACATAAAATTAAATCTGTTAAAATAGTATAAAATGTTATTTTTAGTGTGAAATT